CTTTGGCTATGTGTATCTTTACATTTAAAGTTTAGATAGCATATAGTTGGTTCTTGCTTTATTTTCCGACTGTCTTTGCCTTTTAATGTAGGGACTATTTATATTTAATATATTGAATTTATGTATTGGCACTTGCTTTCTTTACTTGAGAGAGAGAGAGAGAAAGACGGAGGGAGAGAGAGAGAGAGAGGGAGGAAGAGAATCTTAAGCACGCTTCACACTCAGTATAGAATCCAATTTGGGGCTCGATCCCACAACCCTAGGATCTGACCCAAGAGTCCAATGCTCAACCGTCTGAGCCACCCAGGCACTCTGGGGCTTACTTTCTGCTTTTGTTGTCTCTTCTGTTCCCTCCTTTTCCTCTTTATTGCCTTTATTTATGTATATTGAGTATTTTTGATTACACCTTTCTACATTATTGATTTATTAACTCTACCTTTCTGCCGTGTTTTGAGAATGACTTCTGCTATTTCATATTAGTGTATGTGTATGTGTAGGAGTGATTTCAAGAAGCAGATTTCAAAGTCAAGAAATGAATACATTTTTAATTTTGATGGTGGTTTCCAAATGCTCCTTTATGGGGATTGTAATATTCTGCATCCATCTTCCAAGATGTGAGGATATCTTTTTCCCTGGTGAGGCCAGTTGAACTTGTTGAACTTCGACATTTCTGCCAATCTGATTTCTCACCAATTTCCTTATTTATTTTATTTTATATTTTATTTCATTTCATTTCATTAAAAAATTTTTTATGTCTTTATTTTATTTTGAGAGACAGAGACAGAGAGCGAGCGGGGGAGGGGTAGAGAGGGAGGGAGACACAGAATCTGAAGCAGGCTTCAGGCTCTGAGCTGTCAGCACAGAGTCTGACGTGGGGCTCGAATCCATGGACTGTGAGATCATGACCTGAACCAAAGTCGGGCGCTTAACTGACTGAGCCACCCAGGTGCCCCATTTCATTTCCTTTTTAAAGTAAGTTCTATGTCCAGTGTGGGGCTTGAACTCAGAACTTTGAGATAGGGAGTCACATGCTTTACCAGCCAGGTGCCCCATCTCATCAATTTCCTGATGAGAAATGATATATTAGTGTAGCTCTATTTGCATTTTTCTTATTATAGGGATGTTGAACCTATTTTTATGTCTCCATGTGCAATTTATACTTCTTTTCCCTGTAAAATATTTATTCATGTCCTTTGTCCATTTTTCTCTTGGTTTCAGTTTTTTTCTTCTTGATTTCCAGAAGCTCTTTACATGTTAAGGAGCTAAACCCTTTGTGTTAGCGGTTGTAAATATTCTTACCTGAGTTGGTCATTTACTTTTTGACTTTATTATTTCTTAACTTTCATTCTTGAAGTGATTATGACTTAAACAAGTTGTAAGATGGTACATTGAGTTCAGCTTCCTCAAATAATGAACATCTTCTCTTACTCTAGTACAATATCAAAACCAAGAAATTGACATTGGTACAATATTGGTAAGTAGACCCCAGGTCTTTCTCTGTTTCCATCAATTTTACATGCACTGGTGTGTGTGTGTGTATGTGTGTGTGCGTGTGATATACAATTTGATCTCTTGTACAGGTTGATGTAACCACCATGACAATCAATATGTATCTTGATTGTGTTCAATCAATATCTTGTATCAGTTTGATCAATGCACAGAGAATCCTTCACAATCTCCCTACATAGCCAAGCTCACTCCTCTATCCCCATCTTGACCCCAGCAGCTACTAATGTGTCCTATGCCTCCATACTCTTCTCATTTTGAGCTATAATTATACACAAATTACATTATGTGTAATTATACAGAATTTAGATAAATTTATGTGAGGTCACATAAGGCGAATTCCCTAGAATGTAACCTTAGAGATGGCTTTGTTGTTTCCCACTGAGCGTGATGCTTGTAAGGTCTGTCTGTCTTGTTCTATGTGCCAGTGGTTCATTTTTATTGCTGAAGAGAATTTTAACTTAGGTTTCAATAGAAGTTCTTTTTATTAACAGTTATTTTATTGGTAGCTCTTTTTTTTTAAGTTTATTTATTTATTTTGAAAGAGAGAAAGAGAATGAGAGAGAATGTGTGTGTGTGTGTGTGCGCGCGCACATGCGTGCTCGTGCACGCTTCTGAGCTCACGTCTATGCAAGCAATGGTGGGGCAGAGAGAGAGAGAGAGAGAGAGAGAGAGAGAGAGAATCCCAAGCAGACTCCATGCTGTCAGCACAGAGTCCGATGTGGGGCTTAATCTCATGACCCTGGGATCATGACTTGACCTGAAGCCAAGAGTTGGATACTTAACCAATGGGGCCACCCAGATGCCCTGATAGTTTATTTGTTTGTTTGTTTATTATTATTCTTTAGAGAGAGTGTGCCCACGAGCAGGGGAGGAGCAAAGAGAGGGAGAGAGAGAGAATCCTAAAGTGGGGCTCAAGCTCACCCTAGGCGGGGCTTACCCAATATGGGGCTCGAACTCACAAACTATGACACCATGACCTGGGCCAAAGTCAGATGCTTACCCACCCAGGCATCCCAGGCTCCTGTTTTAAAGAGGATTTTCCGAGGGACTCACTGCTGGAGAAACACTGACTCCAGGGGACCCCTCAGTGGGTCTCCATTTTCTCGTCGCAAACTAAGGGCCTGAGTGCTTCTCTCGCTTCTGACATGGTGAGGCCCTTTCTGAAACCTGGTGAGCACCCTAGAGGCCCTGAGACGGCAGTTGCATCAGTGGTGTGGGGGCTGAGAGAGAAGTTTAGTCACCGCCAGCTGGCCTTTTCCTGAGTGTCACCGCCCCCTGAGCCTCCACTTCCTTCTACACCTCCCAAGGCCAAGCATCCCTTGGTAGCAGCCCAAAGACAGACCTAGATTCTAGAAGGCAGCCCGGTCTTTCCACCCACATCCTACTACCGTTCTGGGACTTCCCTGGGGCTCGCTCACACACACTCTCACACCTGCACACAGACTCGTGCACACTCACACGTCAGTGTTCAATCCCAGGACTCTCTATGTATTTTTCCCGCTGTAAAACATTTCTCGTGCTGGTCACGGTTCATGATCTGCTCTTAGGGACAATCGAGGTACTTCGGAAATAATAATTGGGAAAAGAACATGCAAGCAGCTCATCATTACAGCGAAACCTGCCTGGAAGAACAGCAATTTCCATAGTGGGGATAATGCTGTGGGTTTCCAGGAGAGAGTCCAAGGGTCCCTTTTTAATTTAATTTTTAAATTTAAATTCAAGGTGGTTAACGCACAGTGCAGTATTGGCTTCAGGAGTAGAATTTAGCGGTGCATCACTTACCTGTAAGGCTCAGGGCCCGTCCCAACAGGTGCCCTCCTAAATGCCCGTCACCCTTCTAGCCCCTCCCCCACCCCATCAACCTCCCACTTTGTTCTCTGTATCTAAGAGCCTCTTACGGTTTGCCTCCCTCTCGGTTTTGATCTTGTTTTCCCTTCCCTTTCCCTGTGTTCATCTGCCGTCTTTCTCAAGTTCCACAGCGGAGTGAGATCAGATATCTGTCTTTCTCTGACTGGCTTCCCTTGCTGAGCGTAATACACTCTAGTTCCACACAGTGAAATACTGCTCAGCGATGGAAAAGGATGACGTCTTGGTATCTGCAATGGCGTGGATGGATCAAGCGTCCTTTGAATCCTTTCGTACGAGGCCATGACAAATTTGTTCTGGCAGGCGTGTAAGATGTGCAGGCATGGAAATCACAAGGAGCTAGCGCTCGGTGTCTCTAAGGAATGGGGCCACCCCGGGGCTGTCCCTCCAGGGTCAGCGGTCCCCAGCCAGGTGCCAAAGACTTGGAAATGCAGAAAATAAAGAGGATGTCACACTGAGTTCTTCAAAGGCTCAGAGGGATATTTGTGAGTCTGTCTACCTTCCTCTTTCTTTTTTTCTTTTCTTTTTTTAAATGTTTATTATTTTTGAGAGACAGCAAGACTGAGCATAAGCAGGGGAGGGGCAGAGAGAGGGAGACACAGAATCCGAAACAGGCTCCAGGCCCTGAGCTGTCAGCACAGAGCCTGATGTGGGGCTTGAATCCACCAACCGTGAGATCATGACCTGAGACGAAGTCAGCGCTTACCTGACTGAGCCTCTCAGATGCCCCCACCTCCCTCTTTCAAAGCCTGGCCGTCCCTTCCACCCTGTCTTCATGGACCCTTCCTGCCCCCCACAACAGAGACTCTTCTAGAATTAAAATGAGACCCGGTTGTCCCTGGCGAAGCCTGTCCCAGCCCCCCCGCTCTGATGCCCACGCAGGGTTCTGCCTGGGACCGTCATGTGGCCTCATGTGTTCACACCACACACTACCTGTCTTGTTCCCTTGTCTCCCCCGCTCCCCCTCTCTGTCTGTGTCTCTGTCTGACCCCTCAGCCCCTTCCCATCTCTGGGCCTTTGCACATGCTCTCTCTGGCAGATATGCCCTGAACCCCAGTCTTTCCATCGCCGGGCCATTTCTTCTTTCAGATGTCAGCCTGAGAGAACGGGCGAGGGGGCTTGGCCTCCCCCTGGGGCTGCCTGAGCGCCCTCTGGGACACAGACTTTCCACTCCTCCCCCAGCGCCTCCCCGGGCTGGCTCAACCACCACTGGGAGGCCCACATACTCACCATACTCACCTCCCTCCAGTGTCCTCTGCATGCTGGGCTGGGGCCGGGGCCGGGCCCGTCATGGAGACACGGTCCGCAGCCCGTCTCACGGGGCGTGCTGGGCGAGGGAAACATATGGGCCACAAGTAACAGTATATAGTGGTTGAGTGTCACCGATAACAGAGAGATTGAGGGCAACTTTGTAAATTTCAATTGGCAGAGGTTTTTGTAAAAATGACAGTTTGCTTTCTGGATGAAGGTCAAGGACAGAGGTTCCCAGGACAGGTGAGTGGGAGTGTTAACATGTGCCAGCTCGGTGGACGTTGCCCAACACTTGGTGCCAAGAACCTGCGAAACCCCAATGAAATGGCCTCCTGTGCAGAATGATGTTCATGATGCTCATTCCCTATTTCAAGTTCGTCCAGGTTCGGGGCTGCAGCTGGCCATCCCAAGGTCAACGACCTGGCCTTCCTGGAGGAGATGCAGGGCCTTGCCGAAGAAATCTACAACGTGGTGGGCAAGGCAAAAGTCTTACAGCAACTCTGGGCAGGAGGATCCAAGCGTCCAGGCAAGTCCATCTCCAACTGTGTGCCCCTGACCCAGACCCCGGGCTGAGCCCCCGACCCTGGGCCTGGGCTGAGCCCCTGACCTGGACCCTGGGCTGAGCCCCTGACCCAGACGGCAGGCTGAGCCTCTGACCCTGGGCCTGGGCTGAGCCCCTGACCTGGACCCTGGGCTGAGCCCCTGACCCAGACGCCAGGCTGAGCCTCTGACCCTGGACCTGGGCTGAGCCCCTGACCTGGACCCCGGACTAAGCCCGAACCCTGGACCTGAGCTGAGCCCCTGACCTGGATCCTGGGCTGAGCCCCCGACCCTGGACCCTGGGCTGAGCCCCCGACCCTGGACCTGAGCTGATCCCTGACCTGGACCCCGGGCTGAGCCCCTCCGACCCTGGACCTGAGCTGAGCCCCTGACCTGGACCCCGGGCTGAGCAATTGACCTGGACCCTGGGCTGAGCCCCCAACCCTGGACCTGAGCTGAGTCCCTGACCTGGACCCCGGGCTGAGTGGGGCTCATGGAAGCTGAGAACCCAGAGTGTCTTTAAAAATCCTATTTAAACGCTACTTCCCCATCCCTTCCCCAGGTTGTGGGGCTTAGAAGGAGGTGTGCCTCCATGCGTGAGGCACGGCTGTGGGGCTGGTCGTAAGGGTGGGATGCCTGGGACAGTGTTGTAAGCAGGACACAACCTTGAAAGGGGACACAACCCATCCTTGGTCCCCCCCCACCCCCCCCCACACACACACTTACTCACTCACTCCTGATTCCTTCCCTCTCCTTCTGGTTGAGTTGGATTGGGTTTTCAACGTTAGTGACACTTCAAGGTATCTTTTTTTTTTAAGTTTATTTATTTATTTTGAGAGCAAGAGAGCGAGCGAGCAGGAAGGGGCAGAGAGAGAGAGGGAGACACAGAATCTGAAGCAGGCTCCAGGCTCCGAGCTGAAAGCACAGAGCTTGACACGGGGCTTGAACTGTGAGATCATGACCTGAGCTGAGCTGAAGGCTCATGCTTTACCGACTGAGCCTCCCAGGGGCTAATCAAATGGTTAGCTTGCTCTGATGACAAACCCTCTGGGTTACAGGGCCAGTTACGTTTGCTCATGACGAGGCACGCGCACGCCCAATGCAGCTCTGGCTCTTACGGATTAATCCAGGAAAGAGAAGGAGCAATGGGTACGGAGCTCAGAGAGCCTGGCTCAGCAGAGGGGAGGCGAGGACCTTGCGAGAGGCCACCGCTCAGCAGCCACTGAGCCTGCCCTGGCTGTGAATGTGCATCATGAGCTGGGGCCACGGCCGCCCTGCTCTCCCCCTTAAACACTACCCCACCCCCCCATCAGGTGTTAGTACATTTTATCTGAGCTCAGTTTGAATCTCGGGGGCACAGTACACAAATTTTTAGTGGGTCTCAGAAATGATGTACTTACAGTGGAAAAGTATTCATTGTTTATCTGAAATTCAAATTTAACCCGCCATCGTGAATTTTTATTTGTGAAATATGGCAACTCTAGGTACCTGCCTCAAATATTTCTTTTCTTTGTTTTGTTTAAACTTACTTAGTTACTTACTTACTTTATTTATTTATTTATTTATTTATTTATTTATTTATTTATATTTTAGAGTGAGAATGAGAGTCAGGGAGAGGGAGCAGAAGGAGAGAGAGAGAGAGAGAGAGAGAGAGAGAGAGAGAGAACCCAAAGCAGGGTCCATGCTCAGGACAGAGCCCTACGTGGGGCTCAATCCCATGACCCTGGGGTCATGACCTGAGCTGAACTCAAGAATGGGATGCTCAGCTGACTAAGCCACCCAGGTGCCCCTATAAAATCTGGTTTTTTAAGTGCAGTTTTCAATATTCTGGGAAAAAGACAACTAATTTCTTTCCCTGAGATGAACCTTAATCTCCACTTTGTGTTCAGTCTGCTGCTTCGATCCATTTTCCGTGGCCTGCCCGCCCCATCACATGGCACGCTTCTGACTCAGATGTGTGGGTTTCCACTCTAATCATTTCCTCAATTCTTTAGACACCAGCTGGGGGTCCTTACGATCTAATTCGGTTCTGATGCAAGCACCCTGTGAGTGCACAGCCCACGGCCGGGGGGGGGGGTTCAGTCCTCTCCAGCCCCGGTTCTGACTCCCCTTGCAAATCACACTTTTGTACGATTAACCTACATCTGCAAGGTCCCCATGACCCCTCCTCGGGTTTGATTAATTTGCTGGAGTCGTCCGCAGAACTCCGAGAGACACTCACTGATTTATTGTAAAAGATGTAATAAAGGGTACAGAGGGACAGCCAGAGGAAGAGGAACTCGGGGCCAGGTCCGGAAGGTTCTTCCGTCCCTGTTGAGTTGGGGTTTGTGCCCCCCCTCACCAGCCAGAAGCACTCCCAACCCCGTCACTGGAGGGTTTTATGGTGGTTCCATTAGGGTTGGTGTAACTGGTGTAACTGGTGAGCTCACTGGCCATTGGGGATTAGCTCAGTCTCCATCCCCCTCCCCTCCCCGAAATCTAGGACAGTCCTTCAGGGAGGGCAGCCCCCATCCTGACTGAATCTGGGGGCCCCAGCTCCCAGGCATGTCATCAGCACACAAAAGACATTCTTACCATTCTAGAAATCCCCAGAGTCTTACGAGCTCACCTGTCAGGAACTGGGGACCAAGACCAAGTAGAACAAAGGATGCCCCCGTCAGCCCATCAGCCCAGAAATCCAGTGTTAGAACCGAGGGCAAAGGCGAATCTGTATATTTCCTATCATGTCCCAGTGTGAGTCCCTGTATAACCCAAAGAGCCATGAACTTCATTCACTCTTCTTGCCTTCTTCAAGTATTTCCTTTTTCCCTTCCCGCTCTGTCCTGTCCTGAGGCTTGACATGCCTGTGGCATCAGAGACTGCTAGCATAATAAATACTTGTTTGGCAAAGTATTGGGATTTACTTTACCAGTTAAATCCTTTTCCGGGCATCTGTTTAATACTCTCTTGCTTCGAAGTCCAAAGTGACTGTTTCCTTCAGACTTATCCTTCAGTCTGAATGTCCTCGTGTTTGGGGCTGCGGTTTGTGATACGTGACTTGATTGGAGAACTAAATTAGGTGCTCGGCAAATGGTCTCCGATTGCTTATTGAATTAATATCTGAAATCTCTTTTATCGTAGATTCTTGTCATGGCTCTGGTTTGTTAGCGGTAAGTATTTTAACAAAAGTTTGAAACTTAGTCTCCAGAGACATAGTGGTTAAGTTCAAAGCACGAGTTTTTATTTTACTTTTTGGAATACTTCTTTTTCTATGTTCTTTTTTTTTTTTTTCTTAATGTTTGTTTTTGAAGGAGAGAGAGACAGCGTGAGTGGGAGAGGGGCGGAGAGAGAGGGAGACACAAAATGTGAAGCAGGCTCCAGGCTCTGAGCTGTCAGCACGGAGCCCGACACGGGGCTCGAACCCATGAACCATGAGACCATGACCTGAGCCGAAGTCGGACGCTTAACTGCCTGAGCCACCCAGACGCTCCTATTTTCACACTATTTAAAATCCCAACCCGACGGACAGACTTTCTAATCTTGTCTGTTCCATACCAGGCATGAGTCTCTTTGGCCAGTGTTCCCAGCAGCCAACCCAGCCCAACTGTTGTGAATATTAACAACACACAAGAGGGATGGTCTTGGTATTGTTTTCCATCAGATGGACCTCAATAAGACCGAGGACGTGATCTCGAAGTTGGAAAAGCTCCACCAGCAGCCCTACATCTGGGATTTTCTGCTTTTGCTGCCGAGTCTGTACGCACGCGACACTGGCGTCGAAGACCGCATCCGTGGGGGCGGACGCCTGCTCCAGGCAGCTCTGAAGTAAGTGCAAGAGAAAGCGCTAACCAACAATAGGGTGTTGGTGCTTTTTCTCCTCACTTTTTTCATAGGGGAGTCTATATCTCTGGGTACATCTCTTATTTGATGCAAGAAAAAAAATCCAGAATCGTGGCACCCTGAACTGGCTGGGACTCTCGGGTCCCCCTGTGAGTTCCTTGTGTACCCGTGTAAATATTTTATACGATTGCAGTACTGTTGTCCAGAGCCCACTGCCCCTGATGGAAGCAATGTGACATTACATCCTTAACATTTCCTGTATTCCTGAAGTCTTCAAATGATCATTTTTAAAATTATTATTATTATTATTTAAAGATTTTTATCTGTAAGTAATCTCCACACTCAACGTGGGCCTTGAACCACAACCTCAAGGTCAAGAGTCACACGCTCCACTGACTGAGCCAACCAAGTGCCCCTTTAAATGATTGTTTTAACGTTAATTTATTTTTGAGAGAGAGAGAAAGAGACAGAACATGAGCATGGGAGGGGCAGAGAGGGAGACACAGAATCCGAAGCAAGCTCCAGGCTCTGAGCTGTCAGCACAGAGCCCGACGCGGGGCTTAAACCCACAAACTGTGAGATCATGACCTGAGCCGAAGTTGGATGCTTAACCGACCGAACCACCCAGGTGCCCCTCAAATGAATATTTTTCTTAAGTTTTTTTTTTTTTTTTTACTTTTATTCATTTTTGAGAGAGAGACAGAGCGTGAGTACAGGAGGGTCAGAGAGAGAGGGAGACAGAATCTGAAGCAGGCTCCAGGCTCTGAGCTGTCAGTACAGAGCCCGATGCAGGGCTCGAACCCACGAGTGGTGAAATCATGACCTGAGCCGAAGTCGGTCGCTTAACCTACTGAGCCACCCAGGTGCCCCTTAAATGAATATTTTTAATGGTTGCTATTTTAATTTTCCATTTTGGTAAGATATTTCCATTATTTTTTTTTTGATAATTTATAACTGAACTTTTGTGTTTTTTTAAAGGTTTTCACTATCAGAGTTGTGACATGAATATAATAATTTTAACGAATTTCTTTTTTTTACTTTTTTTTTGATGTTTATTTTGAGAGAGAGTACAAGCAGGGGAGAGGCAGAGAGAGAGGGAAGAGAGAGAATCTCAAGCAGCTTCTGTACTGCTGGCACAGAGCCCGAAGGGGGCTTGATCCCACAAACCATGAGATCATGACCTGAGCTGGGATCGAGAGTCGGATGCCTAACTGACTGAGCCCCCCAGGCCCATTTGTTGCTGTAGGACAATGGAGCATATATTTGATAGTTTGTTGGTTTGATTTCTAATTTTTATACGTGAATGCAGTGGGTGTGTTTCCACACACATCCTTGCTCTCAGCCCTGAGTGTGCGGACACGGACAGTGAGTGGGCTCTTTGGAGAGAGGCGGAATTGAACTTAGAGGTTATTGCTGAGTGCAGTTGAACTCTGTCAGCGCCTGCATTAATTTCACTCCACTGTTTTGCTTCCGTGACATAACACCAAGAAAATCTCACAAAGTATGTTCATTATACTTCAACAACTAAAGAAACGCACAGAAAACAACCACCGTTCTTAAAAAAGGAAGAAAATCTGCATTATTAGAAATATGTATTTGCACGTGGTATCGGCTGTTAACGATGTATCTGGTCATCCTGGCATATCCTTCATCATACAAGGATAGAGTTCCTTAAGGAAGAGCTACGGGAAAATAATGTTTCAGTTACAGCTTATATACTATTGGTCTCTTGTTGCTAAAATTTAGACATGTTCTGACTTCAGTTGAGTAAATTTCTAATTTACAAGCTTAATTAAAAATTTTTTTAAAAATATTTTTAAATTTTTAAAAATTTTATTTTTGAAAGAGACAGAGTGTGAGTGGGGAAGGGCAGAGAGAGAGAGAGACACAGAATCCGAAACAGGCTCCATACTCTGAGCTGTCAGCACAGAGCCCGACACAGGGCTCGAACTCAGGAACCGTGAGATCATGACCTGAGCCGAAGTCGGACGCTTAACCGACTGAGCCACCCAGGCTCCCCCAAGCTTAATTATTTGTAATTATACTTAATATCATTAAGTGTATTTGTAATTATACTTAATACTATTACATTATAAAATATTGATATTTAAAGAATAAAATTAGGATATTTATATGCAGATTCCCTGAAGCCCCTCGTTCCGTGAAACCGGTCAGCAACCACTGATTGTGCTTGTGACATACTCAGACCCACAGGCTCAGAAGGGAGGATTGGGGTACGAGGCATTCTAGGAGGCCGCCTCCAAGTTTTAAACCGATGATCTGAACTTGAAGCAGCCAGCCTGCCCGCCCATTTCTTTGCCGAGATGACAGTACTTTGGACCCTGGCTGGCTTTGCCAGGTGACCATTAGTCCCCCACCCAGGGAGTGTAGAGTGGCGTTTGAAGCCACGGTGAATGCCTGTGTGTTGGTGGTCGGCCATATCCCGCAAAGGGCTGGAGGCTGGCTGGCAGGCAAATGTGAGCCTGTGCAGCCCGGTTTGCTGAGCCCGCCGCTCACGTCGCTTTGGTTTTATTTTCGTTCCAGTTCCTTAGTGACTTTGGAAGATTTAGACTGGTTGCCCCTCAACCACACTTTTTCCACGGTTTCTGAAATGGTGCTTAATGTGACCATTTCGACGCTGACATTCCTGCAGGAGCGTGGAGGGCCCACCCCGGGTAAGTGCCCCTGAGAGCGCATGCGGAATTTCAAGTGTTTTCCTTAGTGACCTGCATCAACAGCCACCACGGAGCTGAAATGCTGTTTGAAAAATGATTTAATGAGGGGCGCCTGGGTGGCTTAGTCGGTTAAGTGTCCGACTTTCGCTTAGGTCATGATCTCGCGGTTCGTGGGTTCGAGCTCCGCGTCGATGGTCTCTCCATCCATCCATCCATCCATCCATCCATCCATCCATCCTCTCCTTCAGTAAACGCTTATTGAGTTTGTTCTATGAACCAAACACTGTTCTATGAGTGGGAATAAAAAGCTGAATAATACATGGTTCTTGCTCTCAGGGAAGTCATGTTTAGTACAATAGAGAGATGCATCAATGAAAGCCCAAAGGGTAGGGATCTGGCATCACTCTCAGGAAAAGCATCAAGGAGAAGTTTGGAAGGATGAGTTCTAGTTCATCAATGACACAAGGAAGCATGGCCAGGAAGAACTGTATGTGAAGCTCTTGGTCTTGCAAGGGCCCCATGTGTTTGACATTCAGTGTTCCTGGGGTAGTGGGTGATGGCAGGAGGTGATCCAGAAAGAGATCCCGGGCCAGATCACAGAAGAACTCTGGAGCAACAGTTAGATGTGCCTCGTGCGAAGATATTGCTGGTGCAGATATGAGGGGTAGGGTGGGGGCAGGCAGGCCTGGGGGCCAGGACCCCAGGGTCCTCTTCTGTCTGTCTGCTCCTGACTCTTGGAGACTGTCTCCTGACCTATGTAATGAGGTGGTTACACACAGATTCCTATCCCTTCCAGATTTTTCTGGCTCCTTGGAACAGCCTAATATGACACCCTCCATCACCCCAGTCACACCTGGTTCCTTCTGCTGCTGGTGACTCAGCACAGGGAGGTTCCCTGTCGCCACAGGAGCGCTTCTCTGTGGCTCTGCAAGAGGAGAGAGAAGTCGTTAATGTGTGAATTGCTTCTCCCGCAGTTGATTGTAGCCGAAACCACTAGTCTTTCCGCTCAGAACCAAACCCAGGAGTGTGGGGGGTGACCCACAAAATAACCTCACCACAGCCTCTCCCGAGATCTCACTCGTAACAGACTCATCAGCTCAAGTTTTTGTACATGATCCAAATTTCAACATCGGGTTCACCACACAACTGGCCCCAAAAGTGCGGCTAAGAATCTAATGAAAAGAAGCAATTTTCTATCAATTGCCAGTGAGTCGGAGCTGAGGAGCCCTATTATTGAACCCCTCAAGGCAACTAAAAATTGTCCTCATTCTGAGAAAAATCCCTTTGCCTCAGGAGCAGATCACAAAAGTTGAAGGGGGAAGGGACGTGGCCCTGTCAGTGACTTGGGGCCAAGGACCCGGACATGTTACTCATTAAAGTCATTAATTCACGTGATCTGAGCTCTGCATTCAACAGTGGGTTTCAGAACCCAAATGCCTTTCACTTTCTAGAGCGATGTTATAGTTTTATACCCATCAGTGACTGGTGTCACTGTGTTCCCCTCCTTTTTAAAATTCTATGAGTAATTCTGATACACTGAGAGCCATAGGGATTAGTGGTTACAACCTAGGGTTGGGGATCAGATCTGGGTTTGAGTAATGACTAAATTTAGCTGCGGGACCTTGAGGGACTCTGGATAGCTGTTTCCTTCTCCCCCCAAAGAGGATAATTACTGCACCTACCAGGTGTGCTGTGGACAACTCGTCTGATGAGGGAAATGCCTTCGATACACAAATGCTACCTTAAAAATCTCAGAACCAGACCTTGACCCCTTTATGCAAAGACAGCCAGTCTGAGAGCGATGAGAATTGGACTCCTGGGGTCTGTCATTCTTCAACATCTTCCTAAAGTTCCCTGCAGCTGGGCCTTTTCTGTAAGTGGCGGGACTGTGCCTTTTCTGTAGACCCACGGCATTAACGTAAGGACCCCGAGAGGTCACGCAGGTGAGGATGGTTTTGTGGTCCTCTGCACATGTGGACACTCAGCAGACACCTGCTGATCATGGTCTGAAATAGTCTTGCTGCCTGGATTTCAAGTGAAGGCTCACCTTGGAACTTAGAAGTTTTTTATGTTTGCAGTCGCTGGGCCCCGCTCACAGAGATAATGTCAAACCTCGGAGGGGCAGGTCTCAGAATTATATTTTGGGCGTGCCATTTCCACGTGGCGTTGCTAGGTTATTTGGGTATATAATGAGGTTTTATTTAAATGTTTATTTATTTTTGAGAGAGTGAAAGTGGGGGAGGGTCAGAGAGAGAGGGGGACAGAGGATTTGAAGTGGGCTTTGGGCTGTCATCATAGAGCCCAACGTGGGGCTCAAACTCACGAACCGTGAGATCATGACTTGAGCTGAAGTCGGACACTCAGGGAACTGAGCCACCCAAGTGACCCCCAAATGAGTTTTATATCTTGATTAACTCTGTTAAGGGAACTGTCGTCTATGGCCTTAAATAGTTTTTTAAAACGTGGTTTTAAAGGCAGCTGTAATGGGGTGCCTGGGGGGCTCAGTCAGTTAGGCGGCTGACTCTGGATTTCTGCTCAGGTCATGATCTCATGGTTTGTGAGTTTGAGCCCCATGTCGGGCTCTGTGCTGAAGGTGTGGAGCCTGCTTGGGCTTTTCCATCCCCCCTTTCTGCCACTCCACCACTCATGAGCACATGCATGCATGTGCAATTTCTCTTTCTTTCTCAAAATAAAATAAAAAAGACTGCAGTATTTTATGCTATGAATATACCGTAATTTAAACTTTTCTCTCATGCTAGATGCTTAGCTGGTTTTTAGTATTTAATCAATATAAAAGCAATGCAGTAAGTACCATTGTTGTACACCACCTTTTCTTCATGCATCCGATCAGGTTTCTGGAGATAGATGTTTAGGAGTGAAATTACAGAGCTCAGTGATTTGAGTTTCATGAAGTTCTTGAGATAGGTTGTCCTGTTTGCTCTGGAAACTCTGTGATCATTGATACCAGGAGCACGTGCCGTCCCAGCGAGCTGCCAGAGCCTCCAGCACTGGCTTCTGTGGGCTTCTCCGCCCTGCTTGTCTGCATCGCCTTTCTCTTTCTTTTTTTTTCTTTTTTTTTTTTTTAAATGTTTTATTTATTTCTAGGAGAGGGAGAGAAAGAGAGAGAGACAGCGTGAGCAGGGGAGGGTCAGAGAGAGAGGGAGTCACAGACTGAAACAGGCTCCAGGCTCCGAGCCGGCAGTCAGCAGTCAGCACAGAGCCCGACGCGGGGCTCGAACCCACGAACTGCGAGATCATGACCTAAGCGAAAGTCGGACACTCAACCGACTAAGCCACCCAGGCGCCCCCTCTTTCTTTATTCTTCTTGTAGACATGCACAAGGGGTCGTTTTCTGAATCACGCCAGACGTGTGTCCCAATGTGGAAACAATTGACCGTATAAATCATTGGCTGTCTTGCAGAGTTAGGATACACCCTGTCTCTGAAGAAGCTGGTGTGGGATCCACGGAAGGTCCAGGCTGACCTGAAGTCCCGATTTGGTTTTGACGACCTTCATGCAGAACAAATCCTGAATTACTCAGCTGAACTACACGAGGTACGCACGCTGGATGCCTCTCCGTGAGAGTGCTCCTTTGGGAGTGCTCCCAGGCAGGTGGGGGGTGGGATGGATGGGAGCACGGAGAGTCCCCTGTGCACGTCTGCGCTGTGTGGTCCTGGCAGGCCCCTGCTGGAAGTGTCCCTTCCTCTTACTGTGTCATTTTATCCCAGCCCCCAAGGTAGTTTGGAAATTCAGTAAAACCTTGGATTGCACATAATGTGTTCTGCAAGTATTCTGCAAGACGAGCAAACATTCCTAACAAATTTTCGCTTGATAAACAAGCGACGTCTTGCAACTCAAGTACATGACGCCTAGTGTCACATGATCACAACCGAGCCGCTGGCTCTTGAAATTCTCTTTGATATACGAGCGCTTTGTATGACAAACGTGTTTCCAGAATGAATTAGGCTCGTAAACCAAGGTGTGACCGTACAAGGAAGTGATTCTCGCTCTTGGTACTAGCTGGGGAGAAGCCAGGCTGGGCGAGGGAGCGAGGTTCTGGAGACGAGGGGCAGCGCTGGGGGTCCGGATGGGAGTGAGGGGCTAGGAGAGGACCGCTCTCCAGGCTGGGAAGCCCGTCACTGGACAGCAGGGGCTATGGGCCACAGGCCCCTTGGGTGCACCAGATATGGGGCCTCCCTTTCCACACTGTGTTCTGGGAGGGACTCCACTGGCCTGGCTCCCTTTCGTCACTTCTGCGTGTGCGGGGACTTCCCTGCGTGGTGCAGGATCTAAGAACTGTACCCCCATCTCCGTTTCCTGCACGGAGACCCCCGGGGTGAAGGCCTCTCCCAGGTCATGGTTGAGGCACTGAACGTTGGGACAAGATCTTTGCCCTCCAGTTAGAGTCCTGGTCTGTGCTCAGGGTGGTGGGTTTTGCTCACTTTTCTGAGTTCCCACGACCCAACACTTTCCTCGTGGCGCTTTTTACATTGACACGGAGGTACTGTTGGTGAGCAGACTGTTGCCTTTCACTTTTGGGTCCCAGGTCTGAGTGGTGAACCTGGGGGAGACACGCGGGCCTCAGCCAGGTTCAGCCGCTGCCTGACATGGGTCCAGCGGTTTGGAAAATTCCTTCTGCCTGGCGGGTCATAGGCTTGGCCAGGAGACGCGGTGTTCTCTACCCCTCTCACATCTGGTACAATTCCATGAAGCTTCTCCCTCTGGTGGGACTTGGAGTTGTGCCCTTTGGCGTCTTTCATGGGCGCCGTTGGAGACGGCATAGGAAAGCCCCGGTGGCTGACTCTACCCCCGTTATGTCCACATGTCATGACCCTGTTTCCTCATCAAATACATAAAACCTTTACCTTAGAAGGGCAAGCGTTTTGAGGGGCGCCTGGGTGGCTCAGGGGCTTAAGTGTCTGATTCTTGATTTCGGCTCAGGTCGTGACCTCACGGTTTGTGAGCTTGAGCCCCGTGTCAGGCTCTGCGAAGAGCCTGCTTGGGATTCTCTTTCTCCCTCTCTCTCTCTGCTCCTCTCTCTCTCTTTCTGCCTTTCCTTGGCTCATTGAGTGTTCACGTGCATGCGCACGCTCTCTCTCTCTCAAAATAAATTAATTAATTAAAAAAAAAGAAAGGCAAGAATTTTGAGATTAGAATTATAAGGAAAACGGTCGGGGGAGAGCACAGAGCAGATGTCACAGGTAGGAATCGCCCGTGGCTGCAAATTATCACCAACACTATTGCCCAGCACGACACAAATTCGTTACCATGTGGCTCTGTGAGTCAGAAGTTCGAGACGGGTCTCCCTGAGCTCAAATCTGTGTCCCCTAGTGTTGTTACCTTGCCTTTCCGGCTTCTAGAAGCCTCTGTGCTCTGTGGCTCTGGGCCCCTCCTCCAGACCGGCAATAGGGGGCTGAGTTTTTCCCAGGATGTATCAGCTCTGGCTTGAATGCTTTCCCCTCCCACATTGAAGGAGCCCTGTGATTTCATGGGGCTCCTTGGATAATCCGGGGTGATCTCATTTCCAAGTCTGCTGGTCAGCAACCTTAAGACCACCCGCCCACACCACTCTCTCCTGCCACGCTTGACCTATTCAGTTTCCCAGATTAGCATGTGAGCACCTTGGGGGGGACCATCACCCTGCCTCCCACCCCACGTGAGGCCCCTCACTAGCCAGCATCCTGATGGCTTCCCGGGTCCTCCCCTGGCCCACATGATTGTGGGCACCACCACTCGGGGCCACTGTTTATGCTGCCCCCGGAACAGAGGGCTCTTTCTCCCTTCCTTTCACCGCTCTTCACCGATAACACAGCCTGATCACCTCTCCCAACCCTGTGAAACTCTCATGTCCCCTCTCCAGGGTGACCTGTGATAGGTGCATTGGTGCGAGGGAGGGGAGGGGCGTAGAGAAAGGAGAGAGAGAGAATCCCAAGCAGGTTCCTCATTGTCAGAGCAGAACAGGAGGAGAGGCTCGATCTCATGACTGAGAGCATGACCTGAGCTGAAACCAAGAGTTGGACACTCAACTGATGGGACCCCCCAGGCGCCCCAGGGCTTTGATGTTTCTTCACTGTTGCCACATGGCCCCACGGTTATTGTAGATTTGTGTAACGGGAACGTGGTTCGTTCCCATACGTGTAAGTACTTTTACAGAGCGACATTGCAGAAACTGCACATAGGAGTTTGTTTATGGAACGCCCTGGGGTCTCAGTTGGATGAGCGTCTGACTCTTGATCTCGGCTCAGGTCACGATCTCCTGGTTCCTAGGACTGAGCTCCCCGTCAGGCTCTGTGCTGATAGCATGGAGCCTGCTTGGGATTCTCTCTCTCCCTCTCTCTGCCCCTCCCCCACTTGCGCGCGCGCGCACACACACACACACACACACACACACACACTCTCTCTCTCAAAATAAATAGAAAACACCCCAGAAGCTCATTTATAGAAACAAAGGAGACAGGATTCCAAAATGTCACACTGTTTCTGACCCAGAACTGGAGTTTGAATTGTTCAGAAGAGGAAATGTTTCCGGCAAAGTGGCTGTGGCAGTCCACGGTGTCAGCTGCACTGGGCTGATCCCTGGGGAGAATACAAACGAGTGATGTGTGGGTCCTCGACCTGTGTCCTGGACCCCGAGACACCGCTGTTCCTACCGTTTGTGGACTATCGTGAAAAACAGAATTCCAAAGGCTTCCCTCCATGCCAACAATATAAGGGACGCTATCAGCCCATTAGCCTCTCCTGTCACGCAAAGTCCAGAGATTGTCCTTTGGCAAGGCGGTGGTGTTATCCTGAGAAGGGAATATTCTGGAAAAAAGCAGACCTGTAAATGTATTTCATATTGTTGCCAGATCCCCACAGATGGGACCTTGGAGCGGATGGTGTGTTCTGTCTTGTCCCGAACCTCTGAGGACGAAGCTGGCAAAGAGGCCCACCCTGGAGACTGTCACCCCTGCTGGTCAGCAGCCACCGACTACCTGGTGCACGCGGTCAGCTGGCCGCAAGTCTACAAGCAGGTGCCGTGCCGCCATGAGCCTCCCCCGGGGTGCCCGAATGCATCCCTTTCCTTCCTCATCTCTCACTGTTCCATTTTATTTATTTTTAGTATTTGTCTTTTTTGTTTTTATGTTTATTTTTGAGAGAAGAGAGACAGAGTGCGAGCGGGGGGGAGGGGCAGAGAGAGAGGTAGACAGAGAATCTGAAGCAGGCTCCAGGCACTGAGCTGTCAGCACAGAGCCCGATGCTGGGCTTGAACTCATGAACCTCAAGATCATGCCCTGAGCTGAAGTCGGGCACTTAACTGACTGAACCTCCCCGGCGTCCCTTCGTTTTTAGTACCTGGTTTCAATTGGTGGGGCAGGTAATACGAGGCGTAAGTGTGGACAGAGCATCGCAGCCACGGCCACAGAGCCCACACAGCAGGTCTATGCAGCTCGTTGCTCTCGCTAACTGAAGCCTTAGGCCCGCAGATCCTCTCGCTTTCCCCACCCCAGGCCTGATGAACTCCGGCTGTGGTGCTTTTCAGGGAGCCGTGGGTGCCAATCAACCTCCATTTGCTTTACCGCACATTACATTACCTCTTCCTCAAAGGACACGTATTTTAACTATTTTTTTCTTAATGCATGTTACTGACAAGGGTCAAAGTCTCCAATAGCAGACAGATCGTTACAGAAATGTAGGTGTGATGATCCACTGGGTGGCACTCAGTGTAGCTGGTACTGAAATAGCCAAAGGACAGCGTCGGGCTGACCAGCATCAGCACTGACAGGGGGACACGTTCACTCTGCATGTTGTCTGGGTGGCCTGCCCCCGTGGCTAGTGAAGGGTCCTTTAGCACGCATCAGTGTTCCCGACGCTTTCCCCCACACCTTGTGACGTGGGCTTAAGCGTCTCTGTCGGCCTCACGTGGTTGACGCACCACAGTACCAATCGCCTGTGGTATCGTCATCCCCGAGGCCGTGATGCAGAACGGTACTCAGTGACCTTGTGTTCGTTGCGACGGAATTGTCAAGGATGGTGACGTATTTCTGCTGTGACACGTATTTCACACATGTCCTTTTTGCTCTTAGGGCATCTGTCACCTGTTCAGCAAAACGTGTGTTTTTGCCTTCTCTTTTGAAAAATGGCAGCAGGTGGGGCGCCTGGGTGGCTTAGTCGGTTGAGCGTCTGACTTTCGCTTAGGTCATGATCTCGCGGTTCGTGGGTTCGAGCCCCGCGTCGGGCTCTGTGCTGACTGCCAGCTCAGAGCCTGGAGCCTGTTTCAGTCTGTGACTCCCTCTCTCTCTGACCCTCCCCTGCTCACGCTGTCTCTCTCTCTCTCTCTCTCTCCTAGAAATAAATAAAAATATTAAAAAAAAAAAGAAAAATGGCAGCAGGTGAGGGAAGGACAAACGGCATCTCAATGACAAACCCATCGAAGGCGATTTGTCCTGTTTCATTTCTGAATAGAAATGAAATTGTAAGGCAATTCACAGACATTCCAATCTGCCCACCTCATAAAAATGGGCTGTCTGTCCTCTTGAAGGCTGTTAATACTTCTCACACACGTGCCATCATTTCTAATGCATTATTGTTAATAATAAGTGCTTTCGTTTCTCAACATGAAGGTGTTCGATCAGTGGCAAAAGGGCAGCCTGCTTCAGAACGTGCTCGAAGGGGCTGCCCACAGTCTGGAGGCTCTCAGCGATCGGTTTGTGGAAGACAGTGAGCCACGGAAGGTGCTAGAAGCCCTGCACACTCTCCTTCTCATCCTGAGTGACAGTTTGGGAGCGGATGGACCCAGCAGCAACCATACATCTCCTAAGATGTAAGACATACCTTCCTGTTTGATTACTCGTTAGGCTAGTGACCCTGAGTGTTAATGAGTGCACAGTGAGATAGTGACAAAGAATTCCGTAAAACCACGGCTCCACGGTGAATTTCCCATTAGCAGCTGGGAGATGCAAGGCTTGTATAGTGGGCCATCCGAGTTATTTGTACTTATCCCATGGGTCTGTTCAGATGCAGAAAACCATCCAGGTAGGGATGTGTTGCAGAAGGTGTCTGGATATCAGGTGTTATGTCTTTGACATTTGTTCAAAAATGAGCAAGGGGTGCCTGCGTCGCTCAGTTGGTTAAGTGTTCAACTTTGGCTCAGGTCATGATCTCATGGTTCATGGGTTCGAGCCCCACATCGGGCTCTGCTGGCAGCTCAGAGCCTGGAGCCTGCTTCAGATTCTGTGTCTCCCTCTCTCTCTGACCCTCCCGCGCTCGCACTCTTTCTCTTTCTCTCAAAATAAATAATAAACATTAAAAAAATGAGCAAAGACATTTTAGAGGTCCTTTCATGTAAGGCACTGTTTTCGTGGCTCTTTAAAATTTGGTATTGTTGACATGTTTGTGTAAGATCCAGAAATATGTTCGAAACGGCTAAATAAAGGTAGACCTTTGGCTTCTTCGTTTTTGATATCAGCGGAATTGACTCACAGATGGTCGATTCTGTTGCAACACGGGACCCTTTTCTTCAGTGGGTCGTGTCCTCTGTGGGTCGTGTCCTCTGCGGTAACTTGACCTGGTGACGCTCCTGTGTGGACTCACCTTGGAAGAGAACAAAAGGCTTCTCAAAATGATCTCAAAAGCGTTCATTTCAAAATGAAGTTCTTTGAGACTCTGGCTCCTGTGCCTCAGGAAGGGAAGACTGTGTGATCAGGATGGCACGGGGCCCTGTCGTGTTTTCATGACCTACGTGACACGCGCGTGCATAACTGGACACGTTTCCCACCCTCCCTGCTTTTTCTGGAACCCCGTTAGGGGGCAGGACCTTGCTTTCAAAGCTCTGCTTTCCCGTTTTACCTTAGAGATTGTCCCAGTCCTCGCAACGGAGCAGGTCAGTCCAGCAGCCCTGCAGCCCCCCCACGGCTCTGGCACTTTCTCCAGGGGACAGAGAGCCCCAGGAGACTCTGGCTCTCACCTCCTTCTGGGATCAGTGACGTTAGGGACTGCACCCCTCAGAGGACCAGGTGTGGACAGCCCGCGCTTTCCCTGCCCCCACTCGGGGTGCGAACCAGCTGCTGTGTGCGCTGGGCCAGCCTCCCCTCCTCCTCCGCTGTCTGTGGCCCTCGCACTGCTGGCCTCCGGGTCTCCAGCTCCCCACCCTGGTGGCGCCTCTCTGGTTGTCAAGCTCTGGGTCTGCTGCAGGCTTCACGTGGGACCCCCAGGGGCCCTGTGCCTTCACCTCTAAGGAAGGCTCGGCCCGCAAGGATGGCTGCAGCAGACCCGGCAGGGAGCAGGGGCAGGGAGACCCCGCGGTGAGAACACGGCCCGCTTAGTGGCTTCTCACAAGCGCCGGCCCTGACACCTCACCCAGCGTCCGCTTCTCTCTCCTGCACTCACCCCCCACCCCTCCGCCCTGCCTTTTACAGGCCCATGGAGTTTCCTACAGGCCTCCTAGGTCCCACTGTGTCTTGTGAATCTGTGTGTCTGTAGCGGGTTGTTTCCTGGGATGTAGACGTGAGCCCCACAGTGGCGGTGTCACCCGCGAGCGTCTGTGGCTCAGATCCCGACACCGTCCCGTGCTGTGCACCGGCCTTTGGCCCCCTCCTGGGCACCGGGGTTGCACGGCTTTGCAGGCAGGCGTGCTTCTGCCCCGACCGCCTGCCCCAGGACGATGAGATGCAGAGGCGTGGCCGCGCGGGGCCACGTGCTACCTGACCCTGCGCTTCGGCCCCGGCTCCCGGCATGGGTGCCCCTGGCAGCGTCTGGGTCTCTCCTTCCAGCCCACGGAGGATTCTGGGTGCTTGCATAGATGCCTGGGGGTCCGTGTCCACCCGCTGGGGCCCATACCCCCTCCCTCACCATGAGACAGCCCCCCAATCTGGCTCTTTGCTCCCACATTCCTTTGCAATCTTGGCTCCTATCATTTCAGACCCTTTCCAGCAGCTCCTCTGCGATGTTTTCCCCTCTTCCCGAGTAAGCCATCCATCTTCCTTGCGCGACAGGGAGCCCCTGAGGCTGGGTGGGGGCCGCACACGCCTCCCCCCACCCGGCCCCCCAGCTCCTGGCCTTCCCAGGAACGTGGCCTCGCTGCTGGCCGGCTGGGCTGCTCCTGTGTCTGCAGAGGGGACTCCCCCTTGCCTCGCCCCCCTGCCCCACCCCCGGCCACAGACACCCAGCTGCCTGGCTGGGTGTCCTCCTTGCACCTTCGAGAATCTGACAGCTACTGCTAGCTCGCATTTGATGGGCCTGCACCCACCACTCGCATCTTGATGTTCTGACACTTTTTAAAATATTTTCCTGTGCCTGATAACTGGACGCTTCAGGGCAGGTGCTTTTATTTTTTATGATTTCTTTTTAATGTTTATTTATCTTTGAGAGAGGGGATGGGGAGGGGCAGAGAGACACGGGGGCAGAGGATCCGAAGCAGGCTCTGCACTGACGGCAGTGACCTCGAGCTCAGGAACTGCATGAGCAGGGGAGGGACAGGGAGAGAGCGAGAGAGAATCTCAGGTAGGCTCCACACTGTCAGCGCAGAACCCGTTGCAGGGCTCGATCCAGTGGGATCATGACCTGAGCTGAAGTTGGACGCTTAACCGACTGAGCCCCCCAGGCGCCCCCAGGCAAATGCTTTTAAATCTCACCTGCAGCTTTATTCCAACTCTTAGACCTTCCTGTTTGGGGTAAATAGAATGTTTAATCCATATTCAATCCCCCGACTCAGCCTGTCGAAAGCCTGCTCTGTGCACCTGTGGTGAACTGGGGGTTTTGGACTGTGAGGACGGGTCCCGAAGCAGCGGATATTTTCCTGTGAGCAGAGCTTTCATTTCCCCGGCTGGCCCCCTGTGCTAGTCTTTTTTATTTCATTCCTTTTGTCTGTTTGTTTTGCCCCCAGATTACTGTGTCTGCAGAAGCTGGAGAACATTCTTGGAAACCTGCCCCCGTGGCCGGCTCTGAAGAGACTGCTGCTGCTGCACGGGGCTGTCAGCAACGCGATAGCCCAGCATTTACGTTTTGTCGGAGGTAAACTGGCGTGGCGTCATTTGTCACCTGCTGCTGGGAGCCAGCGTGAGATTGGCGGAGAAGCAGACTTGACCGCACCTGGTGCCTTGTGGAGACTGGAGGGAAGGGTCCCCTGTGTTACATGCCCCTGGGGTGCTCGGAATGTGGCACACCCGCAGTGAGCACTGTGTCCTTCTGGAAATGTCCTCGCACGGCTCACGCCCACGTCCCGGTGCTCAGGCTGGAAAGGGACCAGAGTGCACGCGTGCATCATCACTGTGTCCCCTCCCCTGCTCCTTGGCCAACGTTGGCCAGGGTCCCTTCTCTTTCCCAGAAAGCCCTTCTTTGAGCGTCCACTGACCAGTGGTGTCTAAAGTGGAACCAGGCGGGCTGGGGGCTTCTCGCGTCTCATGACGGGCAGGGAAGAAATGAGGACGGATGTTGCTTGTGGAGTAAAATCCGCTATAACCTTGACGCCATTCTTGGGCATCTTCGGGAAGCAGGAAATGGTATCACAATACGTTTTCACCTCAGGTCCCCCCCTCGGGAGACACTAGAACATCTGGTAACGTGTGTGGTCTGCTGAGACGCACTCTTGCTGACGTCGGTGTTATTCACGGCCCCGTGTAGGCATCAGGCTTGGAGCAGCCTGCTGTAGGAGATGCTGATGCATCCATTTGTTGGCCTTACAGAAGTCCTCGGGTGCCTGGAGAGATCAGCTAACGGCTCCACACCGGGTGGATCTGACCTGCTGAAACCGGAAAAGGACATGTTCTTTTGGGAATTGAAGCAGGTAGAGCATTGCACGGGCTTATGAATGGACAGTTTTGGCAAAACCACTCAAGAAGGTCCAGCAGTCTTTACCTGCACCCTTGTTGTGAGCTGTGCTAGCAAAGCAGGCAGCGTTTCCAAGAACTTTGTTTTATTTTGAAATTCTGATCGCTGCAGATTTCTTTTTTTAATTTTAGTTTTTTAATTTTTATTTATTTTGAGACAGAGACCGGAAAGCAAGAGGGGGAGGGGCAGAAAGAGAGGGAGAGAGAGAATCCCAAGAGAGAGCTGTCAGCGCAGAGCCTGACTCAGGGCTTGAGCTCACGAACTGTGAGATCACGGCCTGAGCTGAAATGAAGAGTCGTATGCTTAACTGACTAAGCCACCCAGGTGCACTTGTGTTTGTTTGTTTTTTTTTTTAAAAGATTTTATGCATTTATTTGTTTGTTTTTTAAAGGTTTATTTTTGAGAAAAATGACACAGACAGTAGAGAGGAAGAGAGAGAAGGGGAGAGAGTATCCAAAGCAGGCTCTAGTCTCTGAACTGTTGGCACCCAGCCTGACACGGGGCTTGAACTCATGAACTGTGAGATCATGACCTGAGCCAAAGTTGGAGGCTCAACTGACCGAGCCACCCACGTGCTCCTAAAGACTTTATTTTTTAAGTCATCTGTATACCCAGTGTGGGGCTTGAACTCACAACCTTGAGATCAAGAGTCATGTGCTCTTCTGACCCACCCAGCCAGGAGCCCCAATTGCTACAGATTTCTGGTTGTGGTTCCCTAGCCCCTTGACGGTGAGTGTGAGCTTTTCTAAGTGACAATCCACCCCCTCCCCCTCTTTGCCTTTCAGTTCTTGATGAAGGATACCACTGACAAGTGCCTCAACACAAGCTTGTCTGGGAGGGAGGCTTTCCTGTGTCCTGGCGTCTGGGAGGACCTTGGGGAGCTGATGTGTCCCCAGGACCCCTCCAACAAGACCAGCATCTTAAACAAGCTACTGAGGTCAGCAGAGGATGCTGTAAGTAGCCACGGTCCGATCTCGTCCATGGATACCAATGGGCTTATTTTATTAAGAAAAGTTTTTTTTTTACTGTTTATTTCTGAGAGAGAGAGAGACTGAGTGGGAGTGGGAAGCAGCAGAGAGAGGGAGACACAGAATCCGAAGCAGGCTCCAGGCTCTGAGCTGTCAGCACAGAGCCCGACGCGGGGCTCGAACCCACAAACTGTGAGATCATGACCTGAGCTGAAGTCAGACGCTTAACCGACTGAGCCCCCCAGGCGCCCTGTCCAATGGGTTTATTTTAAAGGTTAGATCCCACCTCCCGGATCCTGGCCACCCCTGCATTCCGTCCCTGCTGTCTGGTCACACTAGGAGATGCGTGCCACTCATTCAGCCCAAATCTCCTTGAGAGTAAGCTGGTTTCCCCAACAGCACCCCAAACTGGCAGATCATGCCGCTCGGCTTCCCTGGGTTCAGGGCTTCCCGTGCTGTTCCGCCCCGAGCTGCAAATGCGGAGACAGGCAGAGGAGTTTCCTTGGGCATCATGAGCTGGGAGCCAAGATGCTCTTCCCACGGTCCTGTCCTTTGCCCAGTGCTCATGACGGCTATGGGGTGGGGAGCACTTTGTAAGATGATTATGTCACCTTCAACCCATGTTGTTCTCACCGAGCGCAAAAAATTATGATCCCGTTCCCCTTTCCGTCTCAGGATTACCTGGTTCGTTGTTTCCCTGTGCTGCCGCTCTTCAGAAAGGGCAGGGCTGGAATGCGCGTGTGTCCGTGTGCGTTTTGTTGTTTAATGGGAGTCACCGCTCAGCTTCTATTAACTGTGGGAGCAGAATGGCAGGAACATGGCCGCCAGGAGGCCAGCTCCAGTGGGGGCCGCGGGGGACTAGCTAACACATGGGTCCCTTCTGCTTGCATCCTGGATGAGCCTTGATTTTGGGGTCTCTTCACGTGGACACGAGTCAAGACTCAAGTCTAGGATGGTCGCTTAGGTTATCAGATACCTGCAGGGCAGGGGCTTGGATTCACAGTCATGAGGACCCTTGCTGGCGCGGCACCTGGTGGGCTCAGTCGGTTGAGCGTCTGACTTCGGCTCAGGTCTCGATCTCGAGGATCATGGGTTCGAGCCTCGCGTTGGGGTCTGTGCTGACAGCTCAGAGCCCGGAGCCTGCTTCCAATTCTGTGTCTCCCTCTCTCTCTCTCTGCCCCTCCCCCACTTGTGTTCTCTCTCTCTCAAAAATAAGTAAACGTTAAAAGAAAGAATCCTTGGTAAGTGGGACCGGGCGGGGGCTGCCTCTCTGGTGCCCGCTGTCCTCGCTGAATGGATTACAAACCTTCTCTTTCCCTGTGAAGGACCGCCTTTTGCAGGAGCTCATCACTGGGCTCCCAGGAACACCGGTTTCGGAACCTGGAGGACTTGGGGGCTGGCAGGAAGTGGAGACACAGCTGGCGGACGTGGGCCTGTCCTGCACGCGGCTCTTTGAGTTGCTGGGAGCTGCCGGCTCCCCTGGAAACCGTGACCTTGCCGGTGACTGTAAGGACCAGCTTCTTGCCGCAGCGTAAGTTTGTGTGAGACGGGAAACCTGTGAACAACTGGGAACCACAGGATTCCCATCCCTGCTTCTATGAAGTCATGGATCAGGGTAGTGTATTCTACTTCTAGTGAATAGGGGGAGGTATATGTTCTTTAAATGTTTATTTATTTTTTAGAGACAGAGGCAGAGCATGAGCGGGGGAGGGGCAGAGAGAGAGGGAGACACAGAATCCGAAACAGGCTCCAGGCTCTCAGCTGTCAGCACAGAGCCCGATGTGGGGCTCGAACCTATGAAATGTGAGATCATGATCTGAGCCAAAGTTGGATGCTTAACTGACTGAGCCACCCAGGTGCCCCTAATTTTTTGTTTGTTATCCAAAGAGGTATTAGCCTATTTGGTACTATTGGAAAGCATTTAAAAATACAAAATATTCAACAGTTCCTTTAAAGTTTTGCTATTGACTTAATCTTCCTCGAGATTCTTAGCCTCCAAGGTGATGTCATATGTCATTTTCTTTTTCATTTCTCCTGATTTGCTGCATCATACATTTCCTGTATTTTTGTGAAAGATTTTCCCTTGTTTTTCCTTTTTTTTAAAAAAGTTTAGGGGGCCCTGGGTGGCTCAGTCGGTTGAATGTCCAACTTCGGCTCAGGTCATGCTGTCACGGTTTGTGAGTTCAAGTCCCGGGTCGGGCTCTGTGCTGACAGCTCAGAGCCTGGAACCTGCTTAGGATTCTGTGTCTCCCTCTCTCTGCCCCTCCTTTACTCATGCTCCGTCTTTGTCTCTCACAAAAGCAAAATAAACATTTACAATTTTTAAAAAAAGTTTATATATTTTAAGAGAGACAGAGTGTGCAAGCCAGGGAGGGGAAGCGAGAGAGGGAGAGCAGGAATCCCAAGCAGAGTCTGTGCTGTCAGCACAGAGCCCCACTCGGGGCTCTGACTCACAAACCGTGAGATCATGACCTGAGCCGAAATCAAGAGTCAGACGCTTAACTGACTGAGTCCCCCGGGTGCCCCCTTCCCTCGTTTTTCAGCTCAGGGTGGGGCAATTCATAAGCTATCAAATCCCTATTAAGAAAACTATTGCAAAAAAAAAAAAAAAAGCCACTCCTGCAAAGGTTCTAATGTCTGGCGCGAGTGGACTCCAGGCACGGGTGTGTGTTTGCGTTTGGGTGAACTTGTAAGGATCCGTGTTCTGGAGAACGGCGGTCACAGGTCGGCGTTCTCAGGACTCTCTTTGATCGCAGGGCGTTTCATACACTGGAGCAGGTGTGGGTGTCCCTGGAAGAAACACCGTACTGGAAGGACTTTGAGGGGTTTATCAGGAGCACCTGTGAGCTGGCCCGCTACGGGAACACGCCAGAAGGTGTCCGCAGCGGTCTATCTGGTGAGTCCGTGCTGCTCCCCGTGGGCCCGTGGCCAATGCGCGCCCTCGAGCGCAGTGGTGTCGCTCTGAAGCGAAGGGGAGCTAAACGCAGAGGCTTGCCCGGTACAGTTGGCCCTTGTGATGACCACATGTGAGCCTCTGCCGTCTGTTACGGTGTGACCGACCAGAGGGTTCCGGAAGTTTCTGCTGGTGACCGGTTTTCCTCTCGGAACTGTCCCGGGCTGTCTGACGGACAGGTGCATGAGCAGACCCGACGTCACAGGCTCCGGGAGTCCGGCCGTGGTGCTGCCGCTGGGGTGGGGCTTGCGTTTCCAACTCTTCCTGGCCGGGAGCAAGTGGTCTGTGTCCCGCTCTCCTTGGGGACCGAGCTCGCCCTGGTCGTACTACGTGCCCTGTGCGCTCCGCTGCTTCCTCGTGGTGTAGTGGGGGAGCCCCGCCCACCTAATCCTTCCTTCCCCCCGCTCAGATGGCTGCTGGGTTTTTGTTTTCTTTTTTGGGTTTTTATTTAAATGCCATTAGATTGACATACAGTGTAATATTAATTTCACGTGTGCAATATAGCGATTCAACACTTGGACACATCACCCGGTGCTCATCATGAGTGCCCTCCCTAGTCCCCGTCAGCTGTTCCCCCACCCCCCTGCCCACCTCCCCTCTGGGCGCCATCTCTTTGTTCTCTATAGTTCTGAATCCATTTCTTGGTTTTCTCTCTCTTTCCCTATGTTTGTTGTTTTGTTTCTTCCGCATATGCGTGAAATGATATGGTAATTGTCTTTCTTCAATTGACTTATTTGGTTTAGCGTTAAACTCTCTAGCTCCATCCACATCTTTGCAAATGGCAGGATTTCATTCTTTTTGATGGCCGGGTAATATTCCATTGTATACATACACCACATCTTCTTTATCCATTCATCAGTCGATGGACATTTGAGCTTATTCCATAATTTGGCTTTTGTTGATAGTGCTGCTATAAATCTTTTTTATTTAAGTTTATTTATTTTGAGAGAGAGAGAGTGTGCTCGCATAAATGGTGGAGAAGCAGAGAGAGGGTGAGAGAGAGTCTCAAGCAAGCTCTGCACTGTCACCTCCATCCCATGAACCGTGAGATCATGACCTGAGCTGAAATCAAGAGTTGGACACTTAACCACTGAGTCACCCAGGTGCCCCTGATAATACTGCTATAAACATCGGAATGCATGTCCCTGTGTATCTGTATTTTTATATCCTTTGGGTACTTACTAGTGCAATTGCTGGATTGTAGGGTAGTTCTACTTTTTAACTTTTTGAGGCGTCTCCGTACTCAAATTGCTGCTTTTAGAGGCTGTCAGTGAACCCCTCTCTGTGGGTGTCAGCATCAAAGCTACTGGCCACACGTCGGCTCTCTGATGTGCTGCAGGCCACACTGAGCTCTGTGCTGGTGTGGCATGGCTGGGCTGATGACTGAACCGCCTGGTTAGGTGTTTATTCATCCTACACTGTACCTGCTGCTCCGTTACTTTGGCCTCCTTTTTATCACTTGCTCTGGATCATTTCCAGAAACACAGGCTACAAGAGTGACATTTGGTGTCTGTGAGAAGCCTGGGTCCAAAAGTCTCCATAGTGTTGATAATTACAAACATTTGTCGTGCTTCATATGAATTATTTCATCCAACCCTCACGTCAACCATTGAGCTGGGCTCCATTTGGACTTCATTTTCAGATGGGAATTTCGAGGCTCAAGGTTAAATTCCTGGCATGGGTCACAGAACTCCAGGTGTCAAAGCCAAGACATAGTTGTAGGAAGTCTTACCCGGGAGGCTGTGGCTTCGCTTCCATCTGAAGGATCCTCATTGTGGGAGGGGGTCATGCTGTCCGATGCTGTGCTCTGTTACAGACACACAGCTTGTTCAAGAACCGAGATTTGTGCATTCTCTGTTCTGTATGTTGGTTTCCTGTTTCATGGATTTTCCTAATTTATTTCCCATTTCATGAATTTTCCCTTTTATTTTATTTTATTAAAAATTTTTAACGCTTTTATTTATTATTGAGAGACAGAGACAGAGCATGAGGATGGGAGGGGGCAGAGAGCAGTGGAGACACGGAATCTGAAGGAGGCTCCAGGCTCTCAGCTGTCAGCACAGAGCCTGACGTGGGGCTCAAATCCATGAACTGTGAGACCATGACCTGAGCTGAAGTCAGATGGTTAACCGACTGAGCCACCCAGGCACACTGCATGCCAGTAATTTTCGATTGGATGCCAGACATTTTGAATTTCGCCTTGTTTTGTGCTTTGCCATTCTATTTTCCTATGTTCTTAAAAGCAGTTTGATCCTTTAGGATCTTGCTTTTTTTTACATATTTTTTAAATTTATTTCTAGGAGAGAGAGAGAGAGAGAGAGCGTGAGCAGGGGAGGGTCAGAGAGAGAGGGAGTCACAGACTGAAACAGGCTCCAGGCTCTGAGCCGGCAGTCAGCACAGAGCCCGACGCGGGGCTCGAACCCACGAACCGCGAGATCATGACCCAAGTGAAAGTCGGACGCTTAACCGACTAAGCCACCCAGGCGCCCCTAGGATCTTGCTTTTAAGGTTTGTTAGAAAGTACTGGAACGATCCTTGGCGTAGTTGCAAATATTCCCCAGGACTGAGGCGAGACTCATTGTGCGTCTTGTACTTGTTGTCTAGCAAGACCGTGGATTGTTCCAGTCTGGCTGAAGGGAGGAGAATTGTTTCCTGGCCCACGTGATCCTCGGACACTTCTCTTGACTCCTCTTGGGTGGATCCTTCCCTGGTCTCAGGCTGCTTCGTCACCTGCACGCATTGATTTGTCCGCAACTGGATACTTGAAGGAGGCATACAGCAGGGGCTCCATTTGTACAGCTCTCTCTTTCCTGGGAGTCTGTTCTGCATGTCTGTCGGACTCTCCCCTTCACCCTCTCTGCTCAGGGCGCCTGCCACAGCTCCAGCTCAGTTCCACCTCCTGAGTCATGGCTTGGATACGCTCCTTTAGGCAACAGACAGGATAATCATGGGTCTCACCTCGGTTATTTTCTGTCTTCCATGGATCGCTGTTTCCACTGCTTGGTGGCCAGTGGTGGTTGATCTTGGCCGGAGTGGGAGCCCAATCGCCAGCATTTCTAATCCTTGTTATATTTTCAAACATATTAACTGAAGCACTATAGTTCTTTTGGCTTCGGCAGATTTGACTGCAGTTTCCGACTTGAGACTGATATTTGAAATGTCTTTCTATTTAGCTTTCTCTGCGGAATCTCCTTGTTACCAAGAAAACATGGACTGGGAAATCATCACTGATAATTATTTTGAATTTTTGAGTAACTTACTCCAGTCTCCAGCTGTTGCTGTAGCCAGGTAAGGTTTCAGCATTCAATTTCCAGGTTTTTGATTTAACTATTCCCTGCAGACAAGCGAAATGTAGTTTTAGGAAACACTTGCTTTAAAATGTGAGCTCCTGATTCAGCTAGTGAGCAGTGCTTCATATTAGATGTTCAATAAATATTTGCTCCATGGAGTGTATATGATTCATGTCTCCACAGAGTTTGAAAATAAATATAGATGAGAATAGTAAAATTCTCTCTGAAAAGCATGGTGGCTAATAGATACTCCAAAAATGGAATCTTTAGAAAATAGTCTCATATAGTTGCTTGCTTGAGACCTGACATCAGTGATTTAAGAACCTGGTAGTTCTGAGGACCTTGGGGAGGGAAGTGACCTTTGGAACTAAATCTGCGAGGTTCTGTGCTGTTCCACCACTTTCGCATATGCGTGGTGGTAGACATTTTCATGTAGAATTATGGATATTGCATATAGTTTATCCTTATTCTTTCATTTTTAAAAAGATAAGCCTTTCATTTTGTTTATTATTTATTTATTTATTTATTTATTTATTTATTATTTTTAAGTAAGCTCTCCACTCAGTGCAGGGCTTGAACTCATGACCCTGAGATCAAGAGTTGCCTGCTCTACTGACCGAGCCCTCCGGGTGCCCTGGATATTGTGTCTAGTTTAAAGCATACTTTAGGCTAAAATGAACACATCGGGAGACTGTAGATGCTGGCAAGGATGTGGGGAAACGGGCCCTTCCTACACTGTTGGTGGGAATGTAAACTGGTGCAGCCCCTCTGGAAAACAGTGTGGCGGTTCCTCAAAAAATTAAACATGGAACTCCCCTATAACCCAGCAATAGCGCTGCTAGGAATTTACCCAAGGGATACAGGAGTGCTGATGCACAGGAGCATATGCACCCCAATGTTCATAGCAGCACCCTCAACAATAGCCAAAACATGGAAAGAGTCTAAATGTCCGTCAACGGACAAAAGGCTCAAGAAGATGTGGTTTATATATACCATGGGATACTACATGGCAATGAAAAAGAATGAAATCACGCCATTTGTAGCAACATGGATGGAACTCGAGGGTGTTATGCTGAGTGAAATAAGTCAAAGAAGAACAGATACCATATGTTTTCACTTATATGTGGATCTTGAGAAAATTAGCAGACGACCATGGGGGAGAGGGGGAGGAAAAAGTTATAGAGAAGGAGGAAGGCAAAATATAAGAGCCTCTTAAATACTGAGAACAAACTGAGGGTGGATGGGGGTGGGGGAGAAGGGAAGGGGGGTGATGGGTATGGAGGAGGGCACTTGTTGGGATGAGCACTGGGTGTCGTATAGAAACCAATCTGACAGTAAATTATATGGGAAAAAAGCACACTTGATGTTGTTTGTGGTTCTGCTGGAGGGAGGTGGGACAGAGGCTTTGCATTAGAGCATAGCCTTCAAATTCGGGAGTGGATCAACCTAATTGCCAAGCTTGCTAAAAATAAAAATTCCCAGAAGTGCTGAACATTGACTGTATGTAGGACCCGGGTTTCTGTAGACTTAAGAAATTCTGCAGGGCACACCAAGTTCAAGAGCCATTCTGCAACATGTCTCTGGACTTAGGAGTTGGCACTCGCAGGAAATGTCAAGCTCAGGGGTTAGTGGACTGAGGAGGAAGAGTGTGGGATATCCCCTCTGGAGGGTCTGCCCCTTGCTCAGTTTGGATTTACAATACCTTACCCTCCTGAAAGTCTCTAGTATTTAATAGCCCTAGAAAGACTAGTGTGTATATGCTCTGAAGGCATATTTCATTTTAGAGCTATAGACCCAGAGCAGCTGGCATAGTACCTGTCATGAAAGATGCTAGATAATTGGATGATGACTTAATGAATGAGTAAATAAATAAAAACAAGGATGGACATTAATTATAATTGGTATGAAAAATACTGAGCCCAGAAATAGAAACTCCGGGCCATGTCCTGTTCTAGCCATATAATAGCACTGTGAATCTGCTAATTAAAAAAAAATATATATGTATATGCTTGAAACCTGGAGCCTGCTTCACATTCTGTGTCCCCATCTCTCTGTCCCTCCCCTGCTTGTGCTTTGTCTCTCTCTCAAAAATAAATAAACAAACATTAAAAATGAAAAAAAAAAAAGAAAAAAGTGGACAGGTAGATTCTGACTTAGTGGAAGTTAGTACATTCTCCAAGTGTGACTTTATTTATTTATTTATTTATATTTATTGGAAAAAATGTTTACATTTATTTATTTTTGAAAGAGAGAGACAGAGTGTGAATGGAGGGAGGGGCAGAGAGGGAGACACAGAATCTGAAGCAGGCTCCAGGCTCCGAGACATCAGCACAGAGCCTAATGTGGGGCTCAAACCCACAAACCGAGAGATCATGACCTGAGACTTTCGGAAGCTCAATGGACTGAGCCGCCCAGGTGCCTCTCCAAGTGTGGATTTCTATTGAGAGTGTGGACTTGTCATAATCCTGAGTTGTTCCTTTGAGAACTCTTTGTAATTTACAAGTTAACCCCAAAGAGAAAGTACACTATCTAAATGAATGAGTTTCTAATAGTGGGAAGTACCAGCATTGTTTAAAGAACACTGGAATTGCTTCTATAACAGGCAATTCCGACAGTAGTCCATAAATCATAGGGGGCCCATTCTGACCCACTCTGCCATTTGGACTATGTCTACAGCCAAGGCATTGTGAGACACAATAAGGAATTGAAACCCGAGATTTTTCAGCACACACAGCAAAGTTACCTTTAAGAGTCCTACATGTGAAGTAATGGAGTTAAGTAATTTAAAGTCCACTGTGTTTGGTGCAGGAAGCAAATTGATCCTAAATACATGTATGTGCATTTTGGATTTCTAAAACACTTCCAATTACTCACATTAATTTAATTCCCGTTGGGAAATACATGGTTTAGTAAATAGTTCATTTATGTGTTGTTCTAAATAAGTCTGAGTATTACCCTGAAAATTTGACAAATTGAATTTGTCTTGAATGTATTTATTCACTTATTTTTGGATATTAAAACAATTTCATTTATTAATATTATAGGGTCTTGAATTCCTCAAAGGAACTTCTAATGGCAAAGAGGTTGCATTCCCTGGAGGACGAGCAAATACGCTTCTTTTTATCGCTTGTGGGATTTCTGGAGAAATTACTGCCTAATCCTTTCGACTCGCCCAGTGTTCCCAAATCCCGTGACCTCCCCTCACTCACTGAGACTCTTGTGAACACAAGCCATTTGTGGTTAACTCTTTCAAGAAGTTTAGAGAAAGACCCATCTGCTCTTGATACTCAGAAACTTCTGGAACTTGGCAAAGCAGTGATTGAAAAAGCACAAGCCCTTGAACATCTCTGGACAGAGAAGGAATCAAACGATATTTTGAGATCTATGGAACTAGTACTTTCTGCAATGAGTCCCACACTCCTGGAGTTGTGGATGGATGGCACTTCCAAAGGGGAAAGAGACAAACTGGAGACCTTGACTACGCGTCTTAATTTTTCTGTTCCAGATGACTACAGAGTTCTTAGCAAGAGCTTTAACTTTTCCCAGTTGTTCCATTCAGATTGGCCTCCATCACCATCTGTGAAAATGGACTTCGTACACTTAAGTGAAACTGTCATAAGCAGTCTCTATGAATTCGGATTTCTGGGGCAAGACCAAGTTTCAGAGGCTCTGGACATTGTCTCTGCCTTACAGAATGCATCTGAGCATTTCTCAGCCCTTCCGGAACCCGAAAAACGAGAAGTTGCAAAAATCTTGACTCAGGTCTATCTCCATGTCTTCCAGGACAAAGATTCAGCTTTGCTTCTGCGGATTTATTCTTCCTGGGTCCAGTCTATGTTTCAGTTCTTGAGTATTCAAGGCACAGACTCATTGCTACCCTCCCTTACACAAATCTCAAGACACTTTTTGGATATCATAGAGCAATTTCATTTCCAGAACATCAGTGAAGCACTTGCATTTTTATATGAGACAACAGGGCTTCTGGAGGGGATTTCTGAGGGATCTTATTGTCAGCAGTTGCTTTTGCTTTTTAACTACTTGGAGCTTCAGGCCCAATCCCTGAGGTCTACACAGGGCCCTGAATTGAAGGTGATTCATGCTACATTGACAGGCCTGAAACAGCTGCTCATGGTCGATGAGGATTTCCGTATTTCTTTCTTTCAGTACATGAGCCAGCTCTTCAATGGGTCAGTAGAAGCCCTGTCAGGTAGAGAATGCTTTGCTTTGGAGAATAAAAATGTTTCTTCCGTGAGTTATTCAATAGATAGAGGGTCCTCACTTATTCTTCCGTGGGCACAAATTCTTTCAAACCTGTCTGCAAATGGCAGTGTGTTCAATGAGTTAATGGCTGTCCACTGTACCATCTCGTGGCTCCAAATGTGGACTGATATCTGGGGAAGTATATCTCAAATATTCAAGCTTGGCACAGATATTTTCACTCCTCTTTACGATGGTCTCACTCAGCTTCTAGATGCATTGGAAGGAAATGTGGAAGTTTCTAAAAGTTGCCAGCAAATGTTTTCTACCCATGACCCCACGAGACTCCTGCTGAATTTGTTTAAAAATGTAATTCAAGCTGAAGGCTTTCATGATTGGGGTGAGTTTTTGAGTCTCAGGGATCTTTGGGTAGTATTAGGTGATGCCTTAGTTAGCATGAACGCACTTAACCCCAACCAAGTAGAGAAATCCCTTTTCACCATGGAAACTGCCTTGTGTCAGCTAAAGACATTTCCGTTAAGCACAAATGCCAGCAGAGAGTTTTTATATTCTCTGCTTGATGTTTTCACGGAGTTAAGCAACACCTCAGAATACATTGACAGAGATGTACAATTGATAAATCGCTTTCTTTCAAATAACCACACAAATCAAGGAGTGAAGTTTGAAAGTGTCATCACTGAGCTAAGAGAAACAATGTTATTTCTTAGAGATGTGTCACGTGACCAAGATTTATTGTCCTGTGCTGATATTTTCCAAAATGTTACCGAGTTGATTTTGGAAGATGGCTTATTACGTGTAAATACTTCACAGAGGGCGTTACATATTCTGGCTGTGTTAAATTCCACATTTTTCTCCGAGGACACAATCAGCAGACAGAAGGGGTGTGTCACATGGGTAGACATCACAAACCACCTGTACATGATGTATAACCCAAGTGTTTCACAAGGCTATCCTCAAGGTATTTGGAAAGGTTTCAGAGTCATGGAGAACAAAATTAACTCTACATTGAATCTTGTTACTGGGATGCTAAATATAAAGGACTCTCACTGTTCATTCAACAAGTCAGATATAGATTGTGTGAATACCGTATTGAAAAATGTGATCGACTTCCTAAATGTGATACTCACTGAAGTCTTTGAAGAGGAAAAGGTACCTAAATTGGAGATTTTTTTAACTCTTTTAAATGACTCCACAAACCAAGTAAGGATGATTATCAGCAACTTGACAAGAGACTTTGATTTTGTATCTCAATCCAACTGGAAACATTTTATTGAATTAGTCCTGAGACCCATAGAAATGTCAGATGACCTACCTAGCCGATTTAAAAATCTTTGGTTGCATTTAGTAGCTCTGGGGAAGGAAATTCAGAAACTTATGAAAGCTTTTTCCACTCATATTCTAGAAAGTGAATCCTCTTTTACATCTGAGAAGCTTTTAAATATATTTGCTACCAGTCTCAAAGAAAAGGATGTCAACAGCTTGGGCAATTCATTGTATCAGTTAGCCAGTTACCTTGCCTTCAACTTCTCTCATGATCTCCAAAATCCACCACAGATAATTCCACACAAAGTCCAGAAAGCTGTAGGTCTTGGTATCCAACTGGTTAGGGATGTGTTCAACTCCCTGACACCCTCAGTTCTTCACAACATTCCACGAGACCCTGCTAATAGTCAGGTTTTCAAGAAGGTGACTTCTCTCCTGCATACCCTCAAGAAGCCAGACATAGACCTACTGGTTGACCAACTTGTACAAATGAGTGAAGCTCTAACAGATTTCTTTAAGAATGTCAGTACATTGGGTCCTGGGCATTTGGGGGTCAACTTGCTTGTTGACTTGCTGGAAAAATTTGTGGACAGCTCACATTCTTGGAATGTCAATCACCTGCTCAAGCTCTCACGCCTTTTCCCGAAGGATGACGTTAACGCGGTGGTAGACGCATACTACGTGCTTCCTCATGCCGTGAAGCTCTTGCAGAGAGGAGTTGACAAAAACATCACAGAATTCCTCAAGGATGTCTATAACTTTGCTGTCCTTCATGGCATAAGCATTTCAGACGTCACCAAGGAAGACTTTGCTATTGTGATAAAAACTCTTTTGGACACAGTTGAATTAATATCAGACAAACCAGCAGTTCTTTCTGAGGCTTTAACTTGCCTTCCTGTGGTTTGGTGCTGGAATCACACAATTTCTGGATTGAGCCAGGATCCCAAGGTAGAAGCCTGTAAATCCTACGAGCTCACATCTTCCTTTTATAGCAAAGTGGCCAGTGTACTTGACCTCCTCCACCTCTCTCGCCCGGGTGAAGGTTTACAATGTTCGGATGAAGGTTCACGGAAGGAGATTACTAGGAAGATGGTCTGTGTCACTCGTGAACTAGTGGACTGGACTTCTATTTTTCTAGAGCTGTCTGAAGCTTTCCATGTTCAAACTTCACTTGTTGAAACTGTACAAGGATTTTGGCGTAAAGTGTTACCGTTTGTCCTGTCTTCTGGAAATCAGAGCAATGACAGCTTCTCTGAACTTTGTCCCAATGGCCCCATAAAGCAAATTGCTTCGCAGATCATAGCCACACTGAAAAGTGTTAACTTTACAAAAATTACATCATATGAAAGCATTCTTGATACACTAGCCAATTTAAGCAGGATCCTCAACATTAATGAAGGCACAGAGGTATCTGTTCAAAATAAGATTTCCTTAAATTTGGAAAAGATCGTGAAATTGCCTTCCAGGGATCAGCACCTAGAAAATGGCGCCCATTCCCTAGAGTCTCCATTTGTGATGTTTCTGGATGCTGATGTGACGGACAGTGGTTTAGAAGCACCATCAAGTTTTACTAAAACCAGTGAAGTGATTCACAACTCTTCTTACTTTGAGGAACTACGACTTGAACTTGAACAAATCATGACAGAGCTAAGCCATGACTTTCCTATCAGAAGCTTGCTTTCTGAAATTAACAAAGAAATTCAAGTGATCGATTCAGAGACTCTTCAAAACATAACTTTGCAACTTACCCATGTTTTTGAAAGCCTGGGCTCCTTGTCACTGAAGACATCAGAAATCATTGAAGATTTTCTATTGGGCATGAAAAACTGGCTTCATAAACGTGCAAACAAAGATGTCTCCAGAATGATTCAGACGTTCTCTCTTCTGATAGCCAATGAGAGTTCAACTGATGATACAGCTTTGTGGACCAAAGATCTTGCTACCTTTTTGGGTTTTCTTAAAGCCATTTCTAGGGAAGGTGACTTTGGTGTTGCCCATTTAACTCAACTGCTAAGCCAAGAGCAGCTAACTAATTTGTCACTTGTTCAATTCCTTTTTGAAAGTGTCCTAATTAATTCAATCAGTAAGTTAGCTGGGAGTTCTCCAGAGGCAGCCTCAGACTTGAGTGATACTAACTCTCAGATAACGAATTTCCTTAACCTTACCTTGAACCAGACTCTGTTAGGAAATAGTGCGGGAATAATCTTCCCTCCAAGAAGTGCAGTGGATTTCATGGAACAGCTTTTGCAAACGTTCTCACTTTTACTGGAGGAAAATTCTGAGAACAGACTATCTGCTCTGCTGAAGGCCTTCCACAAAGACATCGCTGCAGAGATGAGGTGAGTCTACTTTTGCTTTGTATGATAAATGCGGTCATCACACGTTACAATCTCCTTTATTTCCTGGAACGTGTAAACATCAGTGACAACATCTCTACCTATGAATGATCTTGGGCACAAATTTTGTCATTTTGTCATTTTATTAAAATGTCAAGGTGAGGGGCACCTGGGTGGCTCAGTCGGTTAAGCGTCCGACTTTGGCTCAGGTCCTGATCTCGCAGCTTGTGAGTTCCAGCCCCGAGTCAGGCTCTGGGTTGACAGCTCGGAGCCTGGATCCTGCTTCGGATTCTGCATCTCCCTCTCTTTGCCCCTCCCCCACTTGCACTCTGTCTCTCAAAAAAAAAAATTAAGAAAAATTAAAAAATATCAAGGTGAAATAATTTTGATGATTGTCATCTAAGTAGGAAGAAGACACGTTATAGAAACCTAGTGGCAATTAATTGCTTATGTGTTCTTACATTCTTGGGTTATGAAAATAGTTATGAAATTCTATTTTATATGGAACTGAAGCACTAGTTCTTATATACGTAGATGCGTATACATGGTCATTATTGAATCGATGTGTTAGGTGTGTCATCACAAGTGAGGGATTTAAATATTTTTATTCCAGTTGATCTCCTGAGATGTTTATATTTGGAACTGAGAATATTCAAAAACCTTAAATGCCCAAGCAGAGGAGGGGTAGAGAGAATGGGAGAGAGAGAACCCTAAGCAGGCTCCACACTGTCAGCACAGAGCCTGACATGAGGCTCGAACCCACGAACTGTGAGATCATGACCTGAACTGCAATCAGGAGTTGGATGCTTATCCAACTGAGCCACCCAGGCACCCCCAAATTCTAAAACTTTAAAAACCAATAGTCCCATTAAATTTTTTTCATATATCCTTTTTTCTTGGTTGTTTTTTAGTTTTTGTTTTTTTCTTGTTTTCATTCTATTTGAAGCTTGCCAGTGAAAAGGCTGGAGGGAAATTCTACTTCATTCTGTGATGTCTGTGTCAGTCAGGGCTCAGCCACAGAAATTGAAACAGAACAAGGATTTAATTCTGGCTTCTGTGCTTTAGGTGGCCAGCTAAGCAGGTGCAAAGTCAGTAGGACGGGCTGTCCGGAAGTCATGCTCACAAGCAGGCAGAATACCAGGGGAGGAAATTATTGTCTGCAGGAGGCCATCGAGGGTGGGGGGAGGTGATAGGCAGGAAGGTGCTATTTGGGGTTGCAGGGTCAGGGAAGTTCTACGACTGCCCTGAACGCCTTCTAAGCAATGAAGTCAGCCCCCCCCCCCCCCAATGATATCCTGTCTTATTATTTACTCACCAGGGGGCTTTAATTGCACCGGCAAAATCGCTTCCCAGTGGCACCTGGGTTAGCGTTTATGCTGCAAACTGGCCCCTGATGTCCCTGTCATGAGGGAAGTCACTGTGTCACTCACGGAGACTCGCAGCTCATGAGAAAGGTATTCTGGGGCTGTCACTCAGCTTAGCCATGCTCACACATCACAGCCATCACCTGTCTGAGTGATTTGCTAGGACTTTGAATGCTCAGGAAGATGTTACCTCTTGCATCAAGAAGCGCTTTAATTTTAATTTGTCTTTAATCTTTATTTTTGAGAGAGAGAGAGAGCAGGAGAAAGGGGGTATGTCAGAGAGAGAGGGAGACATAGAATCTGAATCAGGCTCTAGGCTCTGAGCTGTCAGCACAGAGCTCGACACAGGGCTCGAACATACAAGCAGTGAGATCATGACCTGGGCCGAGGTTGGACGCTTAACTGACTGAGCCACCCAGGCATCCCTAGAAGCACTTCATCGATTTCACCTTCCTGTTTTTAAAAAAGCAAAAGTATGTGGCTTTTGAAGTGGCTAGGTTTGAGGCATCATGAGGGGATTATCCCTGAAATGCCTCCACCTTTCTCATTATTTGGCACCAAAGTATTAATTTTCTTCTGGAAGGTGTGTTAGCATGTCATCTTGCAGATTGTGTAACTCCCTCATGATATGCTCCTATAAAGCAAAATTGTGACTCTAGGTTTTAATCTTCCCATGGCTAAACATGAAATTAAAACATATTTATTTATAGTTTTGTCCCAAAGGATAACATTCTAGAAATTCTGACACTGGATCAATTTCTTACCATCTTGAAAGAAGACCGACTGATGAGCTTTTTTTCAAGTTTAAAGGACGCTATAAATCATCTCATCAAAAGGCCATTTATTTTAGACGATGGACAATTTTATTTTGCTATTCATCGAGGACTGAAGTTCATGAGAGATTTATTTAATGCTCTTCCAAGGGAAACCTCAGGGGCAAACAAGACGGAAGATAATTTGGAATTTCTTGGGGTTGTGAGTCAGTTGGTCCGCCATGTGAACAGTTCTGAAGATCTCTTCCAACTCAATCATGATCTGAGGTCAGCCCTTCAGCTTGTGAGAGAAACTTCCACAGAACTAGCACGGCTCATGGACACACTCATCAACTCTCCTCACAGGGACTTCCATAACGTGTATCCCACACTCCGAGAAGTCATACTTGCTAATCTAACTAGTTTGCTTTCCTTTGTCAATAATTCATTCCCGCTAAGGAACAGGGCAACATTAGAAATGACCAAGAGACTCCTTGGTGTTATCTCAGGAGCTGGTGGAGAAAGTGGTGCCCCGGAGCCCCTGTGGGAGATGTCCGACACCTTGACCTTACTGGTGAGGGACACTGCTGAAATGAGACATCTTGCCTCCTCAGTGAATTCTGCTGTGGAACTCATCAGGCTAGCCCAGAAGGTTTCCAGGAAGATGGCCACTGTTTTTGAAACTCATTTCATCTCCAGCACCAATGAAACCATGAAATTCTTTGACAGTCTCTATTCCATTTTGCAACAAAACATTCAACATCTTGTGAATGAAATAACTACTTTGAAAAATGTAGACCACCTCATATCTGAAAATATAAACAACTTGTTGACGCCATTTCTTGACTTGGTTTTTGGGATGATGGGGGTCACACCTTATATTTCACAAGACCCTGATATTGTCAATACATCATCTAGCACATTCTCTTATGTGAACCAATCCGAGGACTTATCTGATATTTTGGAAGAAATTGCTGAATTTTTAACTTCTGTGAAAATCAATTTGGGAGCTATGGAGCATCTAATGGTAGCTTTCAATAATGGGACTCACCTATCTGGTATAGATTCTGTCAACCTATGGGAAGAAATTTTGGATTGTTTGGTTCCTATAACTAGTATCATCCACCAGATAGACTTCTTCCGTCCCGATCCACTTCTCACTCCTTGTTGCCCTCAAGATACTAAGTGGGAAAGAACCCAGGAAGTGATCCTGTTTTTGGATGAACTGCTATCACAAGACCGCACGGAAATAGGGACGTACTTGAGAATGGCGATTGACCTCACCTTGGAAGCTCTTTGGAATAACTTCCAGAAGGATAACAGGACTGTCTTTAATCTGTTGCTGACATTGGCTCAGGATCCAGATAACCTTTTGCAAGCCATAGAAAGAGCTGCAGAGGTCTCCAGTGGAACAGGTGATCTGAGTGAAGCTTTGTTTGTCAACGTGTCTCTCATCCGGAATGTAACTCATTCACAGCTTGAAGAAGCAGTCCAGATCATGTTAAGGAGGATAGCTCTCTTGTGGAAAGCACTTCACATGAATAACTCTCAGTGGGTAAACTCCACGAGAGCTTTGTTCCAGCCCATTTTTGAGAGTTTTATTAATGCAGCCACTGGAAAGAATATCCCATCGGGGAAAGAAGAGAGGATCGAACCACTATCGAGCTTTGAGAAATACCTGAAGGGATTCATTGCATTGACGGAGTACTGGCAGGATGTCCCACTGATGGATCAAAGGTAAGAAAACATCCAACTCACTTCCTTTGTGCCCCAGTGCAGGAGCTACAAGATGGGACAGAATGAGCTTGAACCAGGTTAAGTATGGTTCTCGACTTCACTTGATTCACGCTGGTGTTTGTCCAGTGTCTTCATGATTTGACCTATGATTTGGCATGTAAGTATGTTTTGGGTTTATTGAACAGGGTGTGAAAGTACATGCTTTCATTTTCAAAAGTGAAACCTTCTTCTAGTCCCTTGTCCCAGGCTAGGTATATACATGATTTTTCTATTTATATGCTCTGGCTGCCAAAGGTCATACTGTTTGGCAGGCAAATAAGAATATTAAGCCATGTACTTCATGCAGAAAATTGTACTTTCAGTTGTAACCACCCCTGGAAAGGGCCAGGAAGCTCTTGACTTCTTCTGTCCTTAAGGATTTTATTTTATTTTATAATGTTTTAAAATTTATTTATTTTTGTGAGAGAGCAAGTGAGAGCAGGGAAGGGGCAGAGAGAGAAGGAGACAGAGGATTCGAAGTGGGTGCTACACTGACAGCCCAATGGGGGTCTCGAACACATGAACCATGAGATCACGACCTGAGCTGAAACTGGATCCTTAACTGACTGAGCCACCCAGGGGCTCCAAGGATTTTATTTCTTTTTAATTAAAAAAAATTGTTTAAGTTTATTTTTTGAGAGAGAGACAGAGCATGATCAGGGAAGGGGCAGAGAGAGAGGGAGACACAGAATCCAAAGCGGGCTCCAGGCTCTGAGCTGTCAGCATAGAGCTCAATGTGGGGCTTGAACCCACAAATCATGACCTGAGCTGAAGTCGGATGGTCAGCTGACTGAGACACCCAGGGGTCCCAAGGATTTTATTCTTAAGTAATCTCCATATCCAATGTGGGGCGTGAACATACAACCCCAAGGTCAAGAGTCTCATGCTCTACCAACTAAGCCAACTGGGCTCCCTGGCTTTTTGCCTTTCTAAATTCAACCCAATGCTGTGGTTGATCCACTTCCAAGCACTGCCTCCATCCCTGGTTTCCAGTTGGAAACCAATTGGCTTTCTTCCATGGGGAAGACACCAAACGCCCCAAACAAGTAATCCCATTGGTCATGGGTTTGAGGTCTGACTAGGTTCGAGGTCTGACTAGCCTGACTTTGTTTTAAAGTTTATTTATTTATTTTGAGAGAGAAAGAGAGCCCAAGTGGGGGAGGAACAAAGAGAGAGGGAGAGAGAGAGTCCCAAGCAGACTCTGCACTCTCAGCACAGAGCCTGATGTGGGGATCGAACTCACGAGCTGTGAGATCATGATCTGAGCTGAAGTCAGATGCTCAGCCAACTGAGCCACCTAGACGCCCCTGGCAAAAGCAAATTTAAAACAATATGCTGTAAAAACATAGAATTGCATTTAAACCCCGCCCCCCCCAACCCTGTTTTGGTGCCACGGTGTTCTGGAGAATTCTGAGTGTGGCATTTACTCAGATGTGATGTTGCCCTGTCTCTCTCAGCATCAGGTGCCCCAGAATGGGTGACTCAACACTGAGGTTTCAGAAGCCAAGATGCTGTCTTCTTTCATTGTCAATCTCCGGGCTTTTCTTTTCAAGGAATTTCAGGGAATTTCCTTGGGCAAGTTGTGCCCTTAATCAGTTATTGTCACCCACAAGGGAAAAAGGAATAGATGGACACACACTTTGTTAAATTCCTTTAGAAGCGCTTCACAGAGGATGTTAATTTATATGCTTGGTTGTGTCTGACTTGGAGGACGGCTCTGAAATTTGGAAAGAGTAGAAGCTCATTGAAGAGTGAGCCAAAAGCCATTTGGGGTCAAAAAAGTAAGAGGTAAATGTGAATTCCTGAATTCCTGAGCCCACGTTGTCAGTGGTGTGATGGCAGAATGGAGCAGGGCCGTGGTTGTGGCTGGATCCCCCCTGCAGTTGTGAGATGGCCTCGGCAGGAAGGGGATGCTGAAAAAGTAACGACTTTTTCAGACTTATGAGTTCTGGAAATCCCACGGCCCACGTGGGGTCACAAAGGGAGGTCACTCGTGGAAAGAGGGCAGGCTGCGGGTTCTGCTTTATTTGGGGCCGAGGGTGGGGTCCTAGAATTTTGTTGATATTTGAAAGAGAAGAGATTGGGGTGCCTGGGTGGTTCAGTCAGTTAAGCGTCCAACTTCAGCTCAGGTCATGATCTCACAGTTTGAGAGTTCAAGCCCTGCATTGGGTTCTGTGCTGACAGTGTGGAGCCTGCTTGGAATTCTCTCTCTCTCTCTCTCTCTCTCTCTCTCTCTCTCTTACTCTATCCCTCTCCCCCATCTCTCTCTCTCTCTCAAAATAAATAAATAAACTTTAAAAAATTATAATACTCCCCCCTCAAACCAAAGGAAAAGCCAGTGGTCAGGGCTCACACCACAGCAGCGTGTGAAAACTTTGATCCGGTCTGTGTCATTCCAACACCCTAAGTGGACTTGGTAAAGACCAACACACGTGCTCACACATGTGCACACACAGGCTACATGCCCCGTAACCTTAGGAGTGTGTTCAGAGATAAGACTCTCACTTACATTCAAAATCACCCATTGCAGTGAATTCTCTGTCCAGAAACAGTCAACTGAAAGATGTCTTTCCGATGCCCTTCTTTGCTTCTCATTTTTGCCACCCTTTGATCCTTCATCCCTGCATTCGAGAAGGATCGAGACAAGGGGAGGGCAGATATCGGCTTAGTGGCCCCAGGACAGGCGCTTCGAACTACTGTGGGAGATTCCGAGTTTCCTCGAGGTCCAGACGGCCAAGCAGGGCGTGGAGTTACGGTGTTTCCTTGCGCACATGAGGGATGCACATGGCTCGCTGGTTTCCAACCTTTAATGCCACTGTCTGTTGTTCTCCTTAGTGTGGAGATGTGTCAGCTGTTCCAGCAGCCTCGGAAAGCCCCGGAAGCCGTCGCGACTCTGCAGAAGATGACAATGCTGGCTCTGCGCCTGTCCGTCATCCTTGCAGGTGCGCCGCTCCTGGCCCTGTGCCGACTCTCAGGGTTTGGCGGTCTGCCGGATGGGAGGGCTACCCTCGAGTGTCTCTTAGAGTCCAGTGCCGGACTTCTCGGGACCCCAACGTCCCCCATGTTCTCACCCATTGTGACTTTTCTCCAGGCAAGATGGGTGACCCCCTCCCCCCCAGGCTTTTGAGCTTTTTGATTTGTGTCTTTGCCCACAAAACGTGTGTCCTTGTCTCCAGTTGAACTAGGGGCGCCTGGGTCGCTCAGTTGGTTAAGTGCTGGACTTTGGCTCAGGTCATGATCTCAAGGTTCTGGGGTTCTAGCCCGCGTCGGGCTCTGTGCTGACAGCTCGGAGCCTGGAGCCTGCTTCGGATTCTGTCCCCCTTTCTCTCTGCCCCTCCCCTGCTCACAGTCTCCAAAACAACAACAACAAAATCAAACTCCAGCTGACTTCTGTGGCCCCGAGCCAGAAACATGGCCTCCCCCTCTCCGCTGGCAGGGACGTGGAGCAGACCTTCGTCAAATGCAGTGTCGGTGTCTTCATGTCTAGCCTCCCTCCGCTAGAGTTGGTGCTCCTTGAAGGCAGCACCATGTCTTCCTCCTCGGTGCCCATCCAGGGCCTGGCACGGAAGATGCATTGCACCTGCGGGTGCAGAGTGCCCTGCGCAGCCCCCTGAATTCCCGGGATGCCCTATAAACCCCCCGCATTAGTGCCCTAGGAATCTCCCTTCCTGCAGCCGTGATTTCGGTTCCTGGGTCCGGGGTGCTCATTCAGTTCCGCCCCGCGATACTCAGCACAGTGTCTACAGTCTGCAGTCATGGGCAACTATACGTTTCCTTGCCAATGAATTCACTTGTCTCCTAAGATCCCCAACTGCCATGGAACCCCCCTGGGGTCACAGTGAAAGGACGACACAGGTTCTCTTAGACTCTGTGCGGTACGTGAGCAGTGCTCTCATAGCACTCCCGCGCCCCTGCGCTGGATCAGTGCTGCGCCAGTGATTTCTCATGCGCACACGCGTTACCACGTCCCCCGGATCAGTGTCCAGGATACGAGGGCCCGGCCCAGCTGTCCCCAGCGCGGTCTCCCCAGCGAGGCAGCAGCCGGGAGTCATCATGCGACGTCACGCCGGGCTAGGTGTCGCCATCCTGGAGAACAGCACAGACCCAGCTCCTCCCCCACAGGAAGTGGAATCAGACTGAGTGGGGCAGGGTGGGGGCAGGTGCTTGGGATCGTACAGGCTGAGTCCGAGTCCGGCTCAGCAAGTGCCAGAAGAAACTTCCAGAGAGTGGGATGCAGGCCCGATTCAAAGCTCACTTAGGAGGCGTAAATAAAGCAGAGCAGGCACACGGGTCACCCCCGGGACTTGTGTGCTGTGGGTGCTGGCTTGCGCTAGGCTGCCCCTTGCAGGGCAAGGTGAGGTGAAAAACGGTGATTTGGGGACCAATGCAGGCATCGTTTGGGCTAAGAAACAGGGAAAGGAATGTATGCGTGTGTTGGGGAGGAGGTAGTGGTAGTGAGACATCTGGCGAGGTAGATGTAAATGAAACCCCAGGTGTCATGTACTTTAAGTCTTTAAAAAAGTTTTTAAAATGTTTTATTTATTTTTCAGAGAGAGACACAGAGTGTGAGCAGGGGAGGGGCAGAGAGACAGAGGGAGACACAGCATCCCAAGCAGGCTCCAGGCTCTGAGCTGTCAGCACAAAGCCTGACACGGGCGCTCGACTCATGAACTGTGAGACCATGACCTGATGGTCGCTCAACCGACTGAGTCACCCAGGCGCCTCCCCCCTCCCCCCTTTTTTAAAGAAAATCTCTCCTTCCACTTAGCGATGTTGCGAACATTGGCAATTCTGTTGAAAGTAAAGATTTAAACGCCTAAGTACACCTTTGGACAGGCACCAAATGTCTCCAGCACGGCGAAGCGCTCCCAGGTACAACACAAATCCCACTTTTTTTCTACATCCCGAAGGTTTCCCTGACATTGAGCCCAGTCACCTGCAGACACGTAATTATTCTGACATTTCTCAGTCAGCCAGCCTGATGGCTTTGAAGTGAACTGATCATTCATTAATACCTGGATTTATATTTATTTTGCCCTTCTGTTTTGTATATATATCTCATATATATCATACCTGAAATTACGTTAGCACCAAGATTAATTTTGAATTTTTATGTTTTGGAGAAAGCCAGGCATGCCCGAGTCCCATTCAGGTGGTGGCTCCCCTGTTCTCCTTACTGAACTGTCTCTCCATGTATGGGGTAGGAGGTCAGTGACAGGCCGGAATGGGGATTCGGGGTGGGGGTGGGGTGGGCCAAAATGGACATGTGGCTCCTCTTCCATCACGCAAGGGACCAGATGCTCCTACTACTGAATCCAGTGGTTATCTGCGTGTCATAGAACCACATTTGGTATCACCATGGGGATGGCTGTCATTTTTGTCCTCCAGATCTCATACTTGAAGTCCGTTAGGTCTGCATGAGGATGGGACAAGTGGCCTGATTGGCTTACAGAACTAGGGGGAGTTGTCTTTGACCTTTGGTTTCTCAAATTGGCAGACAGAGGCCCAGGCGAGCAAGGCGGGCTGCCCGGGGCCTGGGAGTGAGGAAGTCGGGGCCCCTCGCCTACCGAGCAGCCTGTGGGAGCGAGAGCAGCAAGGGAGAGGGGTCCAGAAAAGGGGGCTGCAAAGCCAGAGCAGGGCATTGGATGTGTGCAAGAGCCGGGATTATCCACAGGAGCCTGAGCAAGGGCCAGGCCCACAGAAGCAATCTGAGGGCCAGCGAGACTGCGCCACGACGCTGGAGGGAGAGGCCCAGACAGCAGTGTCTTGGAGGGCGTGCTGCCGGCCGATGTTGGATGCACGGATGGATGCGGGCAGGTGTGACAGCTCAGTCCGTCATGCCTGACCAGAACCTTCCAGAAACACCAGGCCTCCGTCCTCACCTCCCTTGCTTTGTTGTTTCATAGCAGGAAACGCAGGATGGACATAGTCCTTGCCCCAAGTCACATACAGGCAGGGAGTTCTTTACTGGAGCATTCGATGCCCTTCTGGATGATGCAACCCCTGAACAGGCTGTTATGTCTTCTCCCAAGGAGAGGCCCAGTTATCCACAGAGATAGACGCTGTCGTGTTTTATAGTGCCGTAGCCCCTTTTTTTCTGTATTTTAGTGAGGGATTACTCAAGAGACACATGTTACATTTTATACAACGGGGAGATCTCTTTTCAAAATCTGAAATAGCGAGATCAATGAGAAAATATAAACAAACGAGGCATTCAGGTGGTTGTTTCTGAAAAGCAAGGCTGGGTATCTTCATTTTTAAATTTTTAATTAAAATTTTAAAAAAATGTTTATTTGTTTTTGAGACAGAGACAGACAGATAGACTGAGAGTGGGGGAGGGGCAGAGAGAGAGGGAGGCACAGAATCTGAAGCAGGCTCCAGGCTCTGAGCTGTCAGCACAGAGCCCGAGGAAAGCCTTGAACTCACAAACCGTGAGATCCTGACCTGAGCCAAAGTTGATCGCTTATCCAGCTGAGCTACCCTAGTGCCCCAAGACTGGGTAGATTCTATGTGGTCTGCATTGTATATGGTGTTGACCCTTGAATGATGCAGGGTTTGGGACACTCACTCCCTGTGCTGTCAAAAATCCACATATAACTATTGATTTCCCCCCATACCTAACTACTAATAGCCTACCATTGACCAAAAGCCTTACGCATAACATAAACAGTCAATGAACATGTGTTTTGTATGTTCTGTGTATTATACGTTGTATTCTTCTTACAGTTTATTTATGTAGGTAATCTCTACATTCAGCGTGAGGCATGGACTCACCACCCTGAGATCAAGAGTTCCGCGATCTGGAGTCCCAAGATCTACTGACTGAGCCAGCCAGGCCCCCCCTTATATTTTGTATCCTTACAATGAAGTAAGCTAGAGAGAAGAGAATGTTATTGAGAAAATGCCAAGGAAGAGAAAATACATTTGCAGTGCCGTCCCATAAAAAACAAAACAAAACAAAAAAAACAAAGAAAACAAAACTGAGTATAAGTAAACATGGTTCAAACCCGCGTTGGACACTTAACCAACTGAGCCACCACGTGCCCCTCGTTTCGACGATTTAAGAAACATGGATGAACTTGTAATCAATTCGAATGTTTCAGAAACGACTCAGTGAGAGCAGCTGGCTTGGGGGAGGATCATTCGCTGATGACGTGTCTGTGTGTTTCCTCTGGCAGAAAACCCTTCCCTGACGAGGGACATCATGTGTGCGGCTCTGAGCTGCCCGCGAGGTGGGGCGGGGCGCCTCATTTCACCTGCTCTACAGGGGGCCACCTTGCTGCACGACCACTACCAGGTTTGTCCTCTGCCGTGTGTCCATGCATTTCATGGTCATCCTGACTGGCCACGCCAGGCCGTGTCGGGCGCTAGGCTGTGGGGTGAGCCCTCTCCTCCCCTCCCCTCCCCGTGGCTTCTGCCTGGGCTGTGCTGGGGCCAGCAGCGTGCATGCGTGAGTGCGGGCTGTTCCAGTCCTGGGAATTCCGCCCACTGGTTCTTGAACACCGACTCCCTAGTAAGCAAATTCTGTGAACGTGTGTTAGAATAAGGTATGTGAGAAACAAGGGCTCAATTCCTAATTATTTTAGCGTGTTGTTTAGTCTGTCCTCCTTGAGACTGCTCACGTCTGGTGGAAGTGTCCCACCGTAGGGGGCTGCCGTCCACCTCTTCCCAATCCTTTTTAATTGTTTTAATGTTTATTTTTATTTTTGAGAGAGAGACATAAGCAGGACAGGGGCAGAGAGAGAGGGAGGCACAGAATCCGAAGCAGCTCCAGCCTCCGAGCTGTCAGCACAGAGCCCAATGTGGGGCTCGAACGCACGAACCATGTGATCATGACCTGAGCTGAAGTCGAATATTTGACTGAGTCACTGAGGCGCCCCACCCGCTTCCCAATTCTCTGCTCAGGAATGTCATGCTGGTGGCTTGAGCTAGGCCATGGTGACACCATGTATACCATGGAAATTGGCAAATTCTACAAATAAGTGCTTTTTTTTTTTTCCCGGAGAGCCAGTTATTAAACATTTACGAGCCCATCGTGGGCTTTGACTCACAGAGAACACTGGCGAGTACCAGGAGCTGACAGGTGCATGGGGACCGGCTAGCAGCTTCCTTCATTAACTTGGCCGTGAGCCCAGGAGGCAGCTCCTCTGGGCCTCGAGCTGGAGCCAGGCCCGTGGTCGCGACTTTTGCCTAGCACCGGCGCCCTCACCCTGGGAGCTTAGGGCACAGGGCCCACCGGCAGGCCTGACCTAACGTACGTCCAGGGGAAGCTGGGTCATCACCCCGAGTAGAGAGAGGGGTGTGTGGAGAGGCTGGAGGAAGTCAGGCTGAGCCCCACACCCGGTGAGGGCACGGAAGGCCTCCCTCCATGAACACAGCGAGGAGCAAGGGCCGGGGGACCTGCATCGGGCTCCAGAGGAGGGGTGATGCTCGGGAAGCGTCGGTGCTTCTGCAGAGATAATGCTTTGGTGGTCCTGATGGTTTCTTTAGACCTTCCAAATCTGATTACCGTCTCGTGCAGATCTTTGTCCGCTTGAAATGAAATTTTGTCCCACAAAAAACCAAACCCCGACAGCCGATTTTTGAGTGCTGAGCGAAGTTTGCGAGCTTCTTTCAAAGCTGCCTCGAGGACGGGTTTCCTAGCTCCGATTAGATTGTCCGCTGTTCCGGCTGGAAACAGCGAGGTCCGTTTTGAAAGGGAGCAGACGTTCCTCTCTTAGATGACAAGAATACAAGTTTGCGTATCTCAGGATGCCAGAGCCTGGAGGACAGATCAAGGTTTTCAAGAGCCTGAGTCTTTTAGAAGCAGAGATGCTCTCCAGCTGAGGGGCATGAAGTGCCCTGTGCCCGGCAGAGGTGAGCGAAAGGCGCCGTGCTATTTTGGGCATCCCGGCTGCTGACTGAGCCTTCTAACACAGAGGCGCCTCGGGGCCAGGGGACGTGAAAGCCCTCACCGAGTCGATGAGGCCAGTGTTGAGGGTGCTGGCCCCTCGCCATCTTTCACTTATGACCATCAAGTGTCGAAAGCAGAGGTCAGGGGATCAGAAATTACATTAAACCACGACAGCAAGTGCCCAGTGAGTCCTGGCATGGAGAATGTGGCTGGGATCCAGCTTGGACTGGGGGCTTCCCACCCTCTCTCCAGATCTCGCCCTTGGGACGTGCCCGTGGGCATCATCTGCAAAGCAGCCGGAGCTCACCTCCCTGACCAGCTCCTACGGGATCACAGACCTCTGCAGCCTGAGGCTGGCTCATGTGCTTGGTTGCCTTAGCCTGTCCCCAAAGCACAGCCTCGCAAACATCAGCCTCAGCCTTTGTACCCAGCACTTCTTGCACGGAGCACAGGGTGTCTGGGAAGAGGGAAGCTGGAACTTTCCTTCCAGCGTCCTTGCTGCTGGGAAGGGGCTTGCACTTTCCTTTCTCTGCAACCCCCTGTGAATCAAAATTATTGCGTTGTTAAACCCGAGAATAAAATCCAGGGCAGGAATATTATAAATGAGTAGAATTATGTTCCATATGCATAAAACGACGCATTATGAACTAAAGGTTCTTTTATACAAGGGGAGGCAGGGCCCCAGGGTAGCGGGTTTTCTTCAGCCTGTGTTCTCAGAGGTGAGCTGTCCCTGTATTTCTGGCCTGGGTGCGTCTGTGACCTGTGTGCTGGGAAGAGAGGCCCCCACGGAAGAGGGGGAGATTAAGAGGGGCCAGCAGGTCCACCCACCTTGCAGATGCTCTGCCCCGTGGCTGTGAGTCTGCGGGGCTCCTTCCCGGGATGGAAGCCGCGGGGAGGTGTGGGAGTTGTATCCTGTGCTCACCCTTCTGGGCTGGTGCTCCGGATGGGTTTTCTGAGTGGGGGAATGAATGACCGTTCTGAAGGATTTCTGTTCTAGCTTCACTCTCAAATCGATGGGGAAAACGTGAACTGGGAAAGGGAAACACAATCCTGGGCGAGTTGGTGAAGAGGTGCCAGGTGGGTGGTGGTCTGGCTGGGTCGGCTCCCCCCAGGAGGTGCTGTGCTGGTGGTGGTGGTGGCGGTGTGAATTCGGGTGCTCCAGTCGTGTGTGAGTGCTCTCTGGTGCTGTGTTTGGGAGTGCTCCCGGGTGTTCTGTGTGAGTGCTCCCTGGTCCTGAGTGTGTGTTTCCCAGTGTTGTGTGTGGTGCTGCTCCCTGGTGCCCTGTGTGTGAGTGCTCCCAGTGATGTGTGTGTGCCCCCCAGTGCCCTGTGTGTGGGAGCGGTCCCTGCTGCGTGTGGGAGTGCTCCCCATTGCCGAATATGTGAGTGCTCCCTGGTGCCATGTGGGAGTGCTCCCTGGTGCCCTGTGTGGGAGTGCGCCCTAGTGACCTGTGTGTGGGTGCTCCTTTTGCTCAGTGTGTCAATGTTTCCTGGTGCCTTGTGTGAGGCTGCTCCCATTGCTGAGTGTGGGAGTGCTCCCTGGTGCCATGTGTGTGGGAATGCTCCTTGGCACCGTGTGTGTGTGTGTGTGTGTGTGTGTGTGTGTTTGTGTGTGTCCCCAGCGGCCTGTGTGGAATGCTCCCTGGCACCTTGTGTGTGCATGTGTGCGTGCGTGTGCACGTGTGTGAGTGTGAGTGTAAGTGCTCCCCACTGCACTGCCAAGTCTCGGTCCCCGGACTGACCCTGCTGCACCAAGCGACTCCTGGGCACAGGCCCTGGTGCCTCCCCACGCCCGTGTTCTTCTCACGTAACTCTCCCTGGAACGTGTCTGTCTTAGCGCTCTCTGTCAGTCCCCTGACTGATCCGTGGTTTTCCTTTGTGAGAGAAGGTGATGGTGGTTTTGAGGGAAATACTTGGAAGTTGTGTTCCACAGAAATGTATGAGTGTCGGCTTACATTTGATCCTTTCTTCCTTAACTGACCTAACCCGGGGCCATGCTTCCACCGCCAGGGAGGGTCAGGAGATGTAAATAGAATATGACGCAGTGAGTGCAGCTCTGGAGATGTGACTGAATTATAGGTAGTGGGGTTTCTGTGTCGGGGAAGGTACGGACTGAACTGTGTTTTACTTGTACTTACACGTGTGCAGCTCTTACGCTTGTTTTGAGTTTTAAACGACCCGTGTTCGTCACTTACTGTTACACCAGATAAAAGGATTGCATTTTTATTGATTTATAGGGATTATTGTAAAGGACTTGTTTTTTATTTTAAAAAAATTTTTAATGTTTTTATTTATTTCTGAGAGAGAGAGAGAGAGAGAGACAGCGTGAGCAGGGGAGGGACAGAGAGAGAGGGAGACACAGAATCTGAAGCAGGCTCCAGGCTCTGAGCTGTCAGCACAGAGCCCAATGCGGGGCTTGAACCCATGAACCGTGAGATCACGATCTGAGCAGAAGTCGGCCGCCCAACCGACTGAGCCACCCAGGCGCCCCGTAAAGGAGTTTTTGCACGAATGATTGGTCTCTTGTGAAGCTGGTTAACGTCCATAAGAAGACGCTGAGATAGCCAAGGACTCCTGGGGTCAGGGTGTAGACCGGGGGGTTCCACCGAGCCCCTGGGAGTCCTAGGAGCACCCCTCTTGCCAAGGGGAAGACTGGGAGCTTCGGGACTGCACCGTGGACTTCAGGACGGGGCAGACCCAGCTTTTACCCACTTGACGAGTGGACGACCACATACGATTTCTTCTCAGGGCTCGGTTTTGTGGCTGGGAATTGTACAAAGCCTCAGTTTTCAAACCAGGAATGGACTCCAGGAGGCCAAGTACCAGGGCACCTGCCGGGCGGTGCTTGCACCCTGGAGCGGAGAACATATGCCCCGGCCTGGAGGGTCAGTGGCGGAGGAGGGGACAGAGGTGGTTCTCCGGTGGCCCAGCCTCTGACGGCAGTTGGAGGGAGCCAGCAGACCTGCTCACACACACCCCGTCTTCAGTGCTGCATCCCCCGAGACCCAGGAAATACTTGCATGCCATACCCGGGGTGGGGGACTACACACACATTTATCCGGAAACCAGACTGGAGTGCTTACCAGCAAGTGTGTGTTTATAACCACCTCCTTGCTGTTTTCTAGGAAATAGAAGAGGCGTGGTCCTCACCCCTCCAGCGAGACTGTGAAAGTCTTAGCAGGAATCTTTTCAGCACCTTGGGGAGCTTCAGGAGCAGCCTGGAACATGCCACGGACCAGGACTGTGAATGCCAGCCAGAGCTTGGCGTGACTCGTCACCGTGTGCACAAGTATGTGAGAGCCCGGCCCTCGCCTTCCCCGCCTTCCCCATGGTTTCCTTCATAAAGACGTCTCAAGGCCCCAGGGGCACCTGGGCGACTCGATTGGTTGAATGTCCACCTCTTGACTTCGGCTCATGCCTGACCCCAGAATCATGGGATTGAGCCCTGAGGCAGGCTCTGTATTGAACGAGGAGCCTGGTTAAGATTCTCTCTTTCTCTCTGCCCCACCCCTGCTCTCTCTCTCTTCATTCCCCTCTCAAAAAAATGTCTTGAGTTTCTAAGTTATGAATCTCAGACAATAATGTGTGCCACATGCTATGAGTATGCATATTAACACATATTTTCTTAACATCAAAGTTTCCCATGTTTTCAAGTTAAAACAATTTATTTTCCCTGTTTATTTATTTGTGAGAAAGAGAGAGAGAGACAGACTGCGAGTTGGGGAGGGGCAGAGAGAAAGGAAGACACAGAATCTGAAGCAGGCTCTAGGCTATGAGCCATTAGTACAGAGCCTGATGCGGGGCCTGAATGCACGAACTGTGAGATCGTGACCTGAGCCAAAGTCGGATGGTTGATTGACCCACCCAGGCACCCCATCCATGACTTTATGTTTTTAATTACTTGTTATTATTATTATTATTACTACTACTATTTTAGAGAGAGAGAGAGTGAGTGAGGGGCAGAGAAATAGGAGAGAGAGAATCTCAAGCAGGCTCTGTGCTGAGTGAAGCCTGACATGTGCCTCAATCCCATGACCGTGGGAGCATGACCTGAGCCAAAACCAAGAGTTAGATGCTCACCTGACTGAGCCACCCAGGCACCCCTATTATTATTATTTTTTATTAAGTCATCTCTACACCCAACGTGGGGCTTTAACTCCTGACCCCCAAATCAAGAGTCATATTCTCCATGCTCGCCGGGTGCCCCCATGACTTTATGTTCTCAGTGGTGAAATATAAGAGCAGCATTAGCTTAAAGGTCAGCTTTATTGATGATCAAGATATTTGATCAAACTTTAGAGATTATGTTGTGGTATTAAATACGTTTTATACGGGGTGCCTGGGTGGGTCAGATTTTGGCTCAGGTCACAGTCTCACGGTTCTGGAGTTTGAGCCCCACGTCAGGCTCTGCACTGACAGCGTGGAGCCTGCTTGGGATTCTCTGTCTCCCTCTTTCTCTGCCCCTCCACCACTCGTGCTGTCTCTAAAAAGAAAAATAAAACTAAATAAATAAGTGAAAACTTACTTTGTAAGAGTGGTCCACCATTCCTCAAACTGCCTTCCCATGGGAATAACCTTGTCTGCAGCCCTCCACCTCTGTGCCCCCGGCAGAGGCACTCAGGCACTTTGTACCCGGCAAATGACTCATTCACCCCACGAATCATGTTCACCCCTTGGTGTCTCAGCTTCCCACGCACTCCGTGATCCGTTCTGTCCTTTGTTTCCATTTACGGGGCGTCATTCGTGAAGCACCCTCTCTCCCCTGACTCCTCTCGCCCGGCCGGGGCCCTGAGGAACCGCCCACAGAGCCCTGATGGCGTCAGGATTCACACTCGGAGAGCATCCGGGGACGTGCCGTGCTTCATCATCTAGGAACCTTCTGGAAACGCGATGTGCTCCAGCTCCTCTCCTGGGAACGGGGGCAGTGTTATTCACTCCTCTTCATTCTGGGGCTTCCTCTCACCTAAACCTGCTTTAATTTTGTGCCATTGTAGGCTGGCCCAAAGCCTCGAGAAGACTTGGTTGTCGGAGAATCCTGTGATGACCTTCCTCAGGAATTTCACAGTGACCGAAGGTAAGATGGGGTGCCTTCAAGTTCGCGTCCTTGAAAACTGTGTTTTCTCACGCAAATACATTCTTAAGATAAAACCTACAAAGGGAAAGTTACGCTGTATGTTGGTAATAATTCATAGCTTGGATGTATTTGGGGAGTCCTAAAATCCTGGGGACCAAAGCCAGGAACAGGAGGGAGAGAAACTTCCGTGGTCTGGGTTTCGCCTCGGCTCTGCCTCCCTGGACAAGGCATTCAGTGTCTGTAAGCGTGTTTTCCGTCTGTTCAGTCTGTATAGTTCATAACACCCGCGTAGCACCTGGGTACCCCCCATGGTGAGTTCTGGAAAAATCCTCACGCAATCTTCCTCTTGATAAAAAAAAGTGGGAAAAGTAAATAAATGGAATGAGTTGTCACTGCCCCCGATGAAAAACATCTTTCTGGAGTCGACCCTAAAATATACAAGTCTCAGTCAGGGCGAGTAGTCACGGGAGAAGGGAGAGACCCCCCCCCCCCCTCCGCGTTTGCTTTGCCTCCGGGACGAATGATTTGGGCTTCTCCAGGGGGAGGGTGTGACTTTGATGTTTATCATCTAGTTATCGATTCTCATTTTCATAGTTAGCAGGAGCCCAACATTTATTGTTATAAAAATTTCTTCCCTTTGATCATTTGTCAGACGTAAAAGTCAAAGACTTGATGCGGAACGTCTCCAAGCTCACCAGCGAGCTTCTATCTTCCATCCACATCTCAAACGAGACCATCCACAGCATTCTAGAAGCCAGCATTTCCCATTCCCAGGTGCGGTGCCCCTTCGCCTCCAGGCCCGCCTGATGCTGTTGGCCTGGGTCCCCGTGACACCCACCTTCCAGTCCCGTGGGAGTGGGCGGGCCGCTGTGCCGAGGGGCTGGCTGGAGGCAGAAAGGAGTGAGAAGCAAGCCGGGAGCCAAAGGGCATCGCTGTCAATGTCAAAGCATTGGGGGCTTTAATTTGACAACTTTGCCTTTTTGGGGTTAGAAAGACTAAAATTGGTGATGATATTCAATCCAGTTATTCTCAACCTTGATGCACGACCCCCCAGGGCAGCCCTGCTTGGTTAAGTAGGAGTTGCACATTCTAAAAAAACAAACGCGATTTTTTCCCCTACACATTAGTTATGCTTGCCTTTAAGTTGAGAATAACTTTCTACGTTGTCTGACCACGTGGGGAGGACGTGGCTTATGTGCAAGCCATCGGGTAATGAGCCGTGTCTCATCCACGGTGCCTGGGACGCAGGGTCAGTGCACACAGGGGTCCAGGAACGACCCTGCCCTGGGTGGTTCTGGCTGCGGTTTGTGCACAGAGGTGGGAAGACTGAGTCCACATCGCCCACGGCCAGTGGCGCGGGACCCTTTGCTGGTAGTTCTCTGAGACGCCCTTTCAGGTGCTTTCAGTTGGAGTTTCACTTCCTGTACTAAGAACCTTCTAGAAGCAGTAACTTAGAAGATCGCTCTTCAGGGAATGTTTCTGTTGGCCATCAGCCAGGCCCCGATCGACATTCACTTTCATGTTGATTCTATAACCGGGAGCCAAATGCAAGCCTGGACAGGTCACTCCATCACGGGCCCGCCTCATCTTCCTGTGCCTTCCAGACATTGCCAGTCTTCCCTGTTCTGGGTTTGTGGCACCCCTGCGTCCCAGGAGTCCATCAGTGCTGGTTTTTCAGCTCATTTACTTCATGTCTCTGTTGCATTTTGGTAATTCTTGCGATGCTTCAAATGTGTTCATTACTATTGCATTTGTTACAATGACCTGGGGTCGCCGAAAGCCCATTTGTTGGTTAGTGGTTAAAAAAAATTTTTTTAATGCTTATTTATTTTTGAGAGAGTGAGAGACAGAGCACCAGCAGAGGAGAGGCAGAGAGAGGGACGGAGACAGAATCCGAAGCAGGCTCCAGGCTCTGAGCTGTCAGCACAGAGCCCGACGCAGGGCTCAGACCCATGAACCGTGAGATCATGACCTGCACCCAAGTTAGATGCTTAACCGAGCCACCCAGGTGCCCCGGTGGTTAGCGTTTTTAAGCAATCAAGTATTTTTTCACTGAGGAATGTACTTTTTGAAGATATACTGCTTTTGCACACTTACTAGGCTACAGCACGGCACACGCGGAACTTCTGTGTGCCCTGGGAAGCCGGAGAAATTCCTTTGATCCTGTTACTGCGATACTTGCTTCATTGCAGTGGTCTGGGACCGAACCCGCAGTACTTCCGAGGTGTGCCTGTCGTTCGCAATTAGTCTGCAGTGAAAGACCCAGATTAGAAGCTAGGAACCCACAATTCAAATTATAGTATCACCAAGTTACTTGGGGTGAGTCACACGGTATCTCTCTTCAAGGAAGAGTCCCAAAGATGGCCACAAAGCACTGCATATGCACAAAGGTGTTGGAGATCAAGGTGGGGTGCAGAACGCCTCCGCTACGTAAGCAGTGATTAGATTCGGCTTGGAAGATTCCGTTGCTGGGGCCGGGAATGAGGGGTATGGAGCAGGGCTACATTCATTCTGGTAGGTGACTACCAATGCTTGAAGGGAAGGGTCCGCCTCGCTAGCTTCTGGGGCCCCTCTCAAGCTCTTACGATGCTTGGGCTCGTAATTTTTTTTTTCCATTGGTGTGTAGTTGACATTTCGTATTCAGTTAGTTTCAGGCGTGCAAGGTAGTGATTTGACGACTGTGTGTGTTAGGGGTCGCTCACGGCACTAGTGTTAACTGTATTCCCTGTGCTGTGCTTTTCGTTCCCATGAGTTATTTTCCTTGTAACTGGAAGTCTGTACCTCTTAGTCCCCTTCACCCATTTCGCCCATCGCCCCACCCACCTCCCCTTTGGCAAACAAACAGCAAAACAGAGAGACACAGACTCCTGCGTCTGGAGAACAAAGGGCCGGCCCAGCACGTTGTGACGGCGGCTGCCGGACGAAGCCAGCAGATGTCACTGGCGCTCCATCACGGGAGTGCCATGCCCACTTATAAGGCCATCTTGCCATGGACACGGTTGTGGGTTGTGCAGGGTTTTACGTTCACGTGTCTTCCTCTGCCTCGCTGACGATGGCAGTCACTGTTGTCACCTAAGTAGCTGGATGGGTTGGTGACTGGGGGTGTGCTGAGGCTTGCGTTTGTGTCTGCAGCTCGTGCAGGGCAGAGGGTGACCCATGACATTAGTCACCGGGAGAGCCGGCTCAGGACCCAGCTGCCCTCTGATGCTCACGTCTGTCCATGGCCCGTAGCTCGTCGGCGCGTGAGCAGGTCTGAGCGTGGAGCATGGACTTCCCAGCCTCAGCTCTCATCTCGCCAGGGGCTCCAGCTGCACAACTTTGACGCCGTGGACTCGCTTTCCGCGTTTCTGGTCCTCCTGTGCCATGGGCAGTGTTTCCTTTCTGGTCGTGATTAGGCTGAGAGTGGCCGTCCCTTAGCTGCTTCCGGGCACGTCTGAGTCCAGCACGGTCAGCCGGGTAGAGTCCAGGCCGTCCCCGGGGTGCACGGGGCTCTCAGCACGGGGACCTGCCCACCCTGGACCCCCCACACCCATGTGGAGCAAGAGCATCAACTACCCAGCATCCCAGTTCTGGACACTTGGCGGCCAGCCTGAGCCATGCTCAGGTGACAGATGCCGAGGTTCAGACGTGGCATCTCCAGCCCAGCAAAACTGAGTGTTATTTTTGTTTAATTCCTCACCTGCTTCGGGTGCCCTCCAAGCAGGGAAAGTGGACTTGGTGAGATTTAGGAAAAATAACGAGCAAGGTCTGGAAAAGCGTAGAGGAGAAGTGGGTGCAGACATACTGAAGGCCAAAGCTCTTGCATGCAGCATGACTGGCATAGGCATACACAAGTTTTTTAATGTTTATTTATTTTGAGAGAGAGAGAGAGTGGGGAAGGGACAGAGAGAGAGGGAGAGAGGGAGTCCCAAGTAGGCTCTGCACTGTCAGTGCAGAGCCCGATGAGGGGCTCGAACCCACAAACGGTGAGATTGGGAGCTGAGTGGAAATCAAGAGTCGGAGGCTCAACTGACTGAGGCCCCCAGGCGCCCCGGGCTACATAATGTTTTAAGATGTATTTTTGCCCTGGGACGAGTTCTACGAGATGCATTGACTGTGACCCTCCCTGGGGCCACTGGGTGATGCAGTAGATGGGAGCTATGACCAGGCTCCAGAGCAGAGCCTAGAGGAGCTGTCGTTGGCCAGTTCAGGACGATGCTCACCCAGAGGCTGGGCCATTCTGGAGTCGTGGGCTCCAGTGCATCCCATTTCCAAGGAAAATTCCATACAGACGCCCGCTTCATAGGAATGATCAAAGCGAGGCTGCCCCAATCAAGGCAAATGGTGGGTGTCCGTACGCCATCCATACCCCTCCTCTTGGAATGTAACCCCTTTTCCCCCAAAAGCAGCCACCCTCCACCCCCAAGAGAGCACATATGAGAACAGTGGCATTAAGGAAATCTTTCTCAAGTTGTGTCTGTGCCCTACACGTCCCATATGAAAAAGGGCGCCTTGTTTACGTAGGTGGGAAAACTCTTAATGTATCTCAAAGATTCAAAGCGTACGTCAGCGTTAACTGGGGCATCCTATACTTTTGTGATGGTTACCATTATAGGTCACCGTGGCTAGGCCGGAGTACCCAGGGGTTTGGTCAAAGGCCAGTCCCATGGTTGCCGTGAAGGTACGTTTTACTGAGATTAACATTTACATCAGTAGACGTTGAGGAAAGATCACCCTCCACGGTGTGGGTGGGCCTCGTCCAATCAGTTGAGGGCTGTACGAGAAAAGATTTTAGGTCCCCAGAGGAGGAGGGAATCCTGCCACTACTCTTGAGCTCCAACTCTTCCCTGAACCCTCAGCCTCCTGGCCCACCCTTTCAATTTTTGGACACGCACCTCCACAGTCACGTGAGCCAATTCCTTAAAATACCGATATACACATATACACGAACACACACTCTGCTTGCTCTGATAAACCTGATTGATGCAGTCTTCTATTTCCTTTTTTTTTTTTTTTTAAGTTTATTTGTTTATTTTGAGAAAGCAAGAGAGAGCGCAAGCGGGGAAAGGGCGGAGATAGGGAGAGACAGAATCCCAAGTAGGCTCCACGGTATCAGCACCAGAGCCCAACGTGGATTTCGAACTCATGAACTGTGAGATCATGAGCTGAGCTGAGGCCAAGCATCAGATGCTTAACCGACTGAGCCACCCAGGCACCCCAACAGTCTTCTATTTCTTAGTGGCTTTCCAGGGCTCTTTGTGGCACTGTATGAAGGTGTCTGATGTGGTCTGCCTGCTTGTGAGGCTCCTAATAAGTGAATAACGGCTTCTGTTCGCAGAGGATCTTGCTTGGCCTGAATGTTTCGCGGCAATTGGAGGCATCGTGGTAGAAACACATGGGAAGTCCGGCTTTGCAATTGGGCTTTACACCTTGCCCTGCGGTGAAGGTCACGAGTTGAAAGCCATTTGCAAACGGGGCTGCGCCTGGGAGCCCATCACTGAGGTGTGCGGAGTTCATAAGTCAGACGATAATGCGAGTGTCCCTCAGTCTCTCCTCGGAATGCAGATGCATTTTTGTTTTTCCTTTTCAAAAAATTGCAGCCAGCGTGGACGTCTGGGTTTCGTTCTGGAAAGGGAGGCAGGAGAGAATAATTTCGCACTGACAGCTGAAGGGTGAAGGGTGATTAACCGAAAGTGCGGATTAAGACTTGGTGTCAGAGGAGGGGTCGAGGGCCGTGTGCGCCGGCCCCGCGGGGTGCCGGGTGGCTGGTCCTGTGGCATGGCCTCTGCGTCATCAGAAAGGACAGATTGCTTCAGCGTTTGGAGAATTACGTGCACATCTTAGAAGTGTGTCTGTTCAAAATGTTTGAAACCGCACAGAGGTTCACATTGTAGGTAAATCCTCAGCCCTGGGTGGGGGGTGAGCTTTTGGGGGCTCCTCGCTGAGGAAGCTCTGTGCCTCGGGGCCGCACATTCCCGTATGCCCCCCTTCTGACCCTCCTGCTTTCAAACAGGTTCTCTGGAGCGTCCTTGCTGTGGCTTTGTCCGGAAGGTGCGACATGGACGCCCTTGGCCTGCTGTTGGTATTTCCTGAGGACGGGAAGTCGGGGTCTGCGGTGCAGGAAGTGTGTGCCCTGCCTGGGCCCAAAGTATATTCCCTGATTGTGTCCATGAGTCAGAACCTGAATCTGCGGAGTTTCATTTACAAAGTAAGGGGGGTGGCCGTGGAGCATGGTGGCCGTGGGGGACAGCAGGTGCATGCCCTGCAGCTGCCACCAGCCTCCACGTCTCCTGTGCGCTGACTCTGGGGGTGGGGCTCAGGGCAAGAGGGGCTCGGGAGGCGTCCCAGGGGCCCCTGCAGTCAGGCCCATCGGGCCATGTGGCACAGCGGTGGGGGTGGTCACTGTGGTCAGCACAGCGGGACCAGTAAGGAAAAGCCCTTCCTGTCTGGGGTTCCTCGGGACCACGCCAGTCCCCCCTGAGTCAGGAGTTGTTCCCACCCCTCCCTGACCTTGGCCTTCTCTTTCCCATTGTGTCCTGAGACCTACGGCCTCTGTCCTGTGAGCATCATATGCCCACCTCTGCCAGGCCCTGGTCACTTAGGGAAGTGCTTATTACCTGCCCCACGATGGACGGGACAGTGTGTGCTGGGAGAGAGAGTTGGTAGTGGACAGTGAGCACGGCTAGCCCTGGGGGCACCCCGATTAACCTCCACTGACCCCCCCCCATGTGGGCGGTGAGCATGGCTAACCCTGGGGTGACCCAATTAACCTCCGCTGACCCCCTGTGTGGATGGTGAGCACGGCTAATCCTCGGGTGCCCCGATTAACCTCCACTGACCCCCCATGTGGACAGTGAGCACGGCTAACCCTAGGGTGCCCCAGTTAACCTCCACGCACCTCCTGTGTGGATGGTGAGCACGGCTTACCCTGGGGGCACCCCGATTGACTTTTATCACCCGTCACGCCCACTCCTGTTTGTCAGGAGCCTCTAGGTGCATGGCTGTAGGGACGTGGACTCACACACCATACTCCCGGAGATGGAACACCAGCCCCAAACCTGGGTGACTCCATCACCCAGGTGCCCCAGGGCATTACTGTTTCTGATGTCAAGGGTTAACTTCCCAACTGCATCCTTCTAACTGTGAGAGCCTGGGAAGCCCTCGAATTCTGGGCCTCTGTCTCTTTGTCCACAAAATGCACCCAAGCACACTCCAGTGGGATGAGAAAGATGGAAACAGTGTGTGCACGTTACTGCAGTGGGTAAAGGGAAAATTGTTTCTCACGTAAGAATTGTTTCTTTTGGGGGCACCTAGCGGACTCAGTCCATTAAGCATCTGGCTTCAGCTCAGGTCATGATCTCACAGTTTTTGAGTTCAAGCCCTCCATCGGGCTCTATGCTGGCAGCTCAGAGCCTGGAGCCTACTTTGGATTCTGTGTCTCCTTCTCTCTCTCGCCTCCCCTGCTCGTGCTCCATTGCTCTCTCTCTCCGTCTCTCAAAAATAAATAAATAAAAACATTTAAAAATTTGTTTTCTTTTCACCCTCTTAAATATCCACTTTAGGCACCTCCAAGATAAAGAGAAGTATTTTGAAATAGATTTTAATTAAAAAATTTTTAATGTTTATTTTTGGGAGAGAGAGAGAGAGTGCGTGTGGGGGAGGGTCAGAGAGAGAGGGAGATACAGAATCTGAAGCAGGCTCCAGTCTGAGCTGTCAGCACAGAGCCTGACATGGGGCTTGAACCCACGAACCAAGAGATGGTGACTTGAGCTGAAGTCTGACGCTTAAGCGGTTGAGCCCCCCAGGCCTCCCTAATTCTTTAATGTGAACTCCACACCCAATGTGGGGCTCGAACTCACAAACTGTGAGATCATGACCTGAGCCGAAGTAGGATGCCTAACCGACTGAGCCACCCAGGCGCCCCTCGATTTTAATTTTAATAACAGATTGTATTTATTCCCGGTTTATGTTTGAGCAGTGCTGGCGTCATCGAGTGTGTGACAAAATCCTGAACCAGGTATATTCAAATAAAGAGGACATTTATATGGCCCAGCAAAGCCGTCTCCCTAGTGTAAGAGAGAATAACATCCAATAACCAGGCTTTCGCTGCTCAGGCAAGGCTGGCGAGGGTAGAAGGTACCATGTTGTTTACTGCGTGTTGTGTTTTCTTCCGTTGAGACTCTAATGCCTTTGGAAGCCAGCCGCCTGCTCCGCTCCCTGTTGGACGTGGTCTCCAGGCTCAGTCACGTGCTTGCCGGAGCCGGCCACGTCCTGGAGTACCTTCCCGAATTTCTTCGTGCCAATAAAATCACCGCCTTGCTAGACACGCCCGACTCTCAACAGGTGTGCGTTTGCTTTTGGTCCTGGGGGAAATATCGAGAGTTGCTGCTTTGGCCTGTCTTTCTCTCCCAACATCTCAGGTTTCCATGCAGCAATGAAACGTAGCAATGGGAGTACTTTCTCTGTCTGTGGAGGCACGGCCTGGTGGGAAGGCTGGGCATCTGCCTAAGCACCAGAGGTCAGAGACTTTATTGAGCCACAACCACCCCCACGGTGGCTGGAATGGTTCACGGGGAGTCTGTGATGCCCGAAGTCACTACATCGAGTATGAGCACACAGGAGAGTCCACGGGCTTGGTTAAGCCCATCCCGCCAGTACATTGCTTCCAAACACCTTCACGCTTATTGACACGTGAATAGGTGGCTTACAAAGCACAGATTAGTTGCTGCAAACACAAACTTGGAGGAAGTTAGGGGCACGACAGTAGCTTTTGCTTAGACGCTGTCTACCTGGGTGGGCTGCCTGGGGAGAGCAGACGCGGGGGGACGCGCAGAGACAGGTACATGGGGTGTGGTGGGTCGGGGAGGAGTCCTCAGCGGCCTTGGGCGGGACAGCGCTGTGTGCCTCAGCTGAGGGGCAGTTTGGAAAGCTGTCAAGAGTCCGGGGGACAGGGCAGTAGACATACGTGAAGACCATTAATTAGCAGAGTTAGTGATCTTTTGGGGATGGATCATTTATCGCTGGACGGCAGAGGATTTGCTGATGCGCGTGCTTGCACGCGTGTGTGGGCAGGGCCTTTGTCTCTGGTCACGGGTTAAAGGCCAGAAAAAGCACTGCGTGGTTCACAGGGCGTTTCGAGGGCAGAGAAGTCTGAAGCCAAGTCGAGATCCCATGTGTGGGCTTGGTGACTTGTGTGTTCAGCTGGAGAAGAGGCTCCCTTTCAGAGGTCCGTCCCTGTTGTGCGACACTTTATTTGCCTCGTGTCCTCAGGATGCACAGAATGGCCAGGCCAGAAGTTCAGCCTTCGGTTCCTTCCAGTCGGTGATGAAGAAACTTTGCAAGGAGCCAGCGTCACTCTTCAGCGGCTCCAACTCGTTCATTAACTTGCCCAGAGTTAACGAGCTCCTGGGAGGGGACAAAGAACGATTCAACATTCCCGAAGATTCAAGTAAGGCGACAGTAATGGGTGTTTGCATCGTGGCCATGAGCCCCATGTGGTGCTGAATGTCTGGTGTGGGTGGGCGCACGCTGGCAAAGAGTGGTCCCCCTCCCCTTCTCAGCCATATCTTTCCACTTTCACTGAGGCCGCCACACGTGGACATGGCAGGTGGTGTTGGAAGGCCCCGGTGCCCACGCGCAAGGGCTGATCCTCTCCCTGTGTTGTCAGAGACAGAGGGAGAGACAGAATCCGAAGCAGGCTCCAGGCTCTGAGCTGTCAGCACAAAGCCCAATGCAGGGCTCGAACTCACGAACCTTGAGATCATGACCTGAGCCCAAGTCAGTCACTTAAGCAGCTGAGCTCCCCAGGCACCCCAAAGACATATCCACTTAACGTGGGGCCTGGATGTCACTTACCCATCCACAGTCCTTTGCCACTGAGTCTCATGGAAGGCAATTTCTAGATGGCTGCGTACATTTCTCCTGGTTGTATCATCTCATCAGACTGCAGGGACCAAAGTGGTGCCCTTGGTCTCTGAGCCCGGACCCCTCAGTGGTCAGCTGGGGCTCCCAAATAGACCAGGGCTTCAGGGGGGTTCCACTTCCCAGGGTTCCAGTCTTTCCAAAAGGGTTTACCTGACTACTCAGCTAGGATCATCTTCTTTTTGAATAACTCCAAGTCAGCTCATGAGGACCTTATTTACATCTTCAGAATTCCTTACCCGTGGCCGCGAAACCTTACCTGGGGGCGGCACCTGTCATTCCCAGCTGCTGCCTGTACGTCAGGGCATGAATGCAGGGGCCGTATTGGGAATCTGCGTACTATCTGTCCCCAATATATATACACAAAATACACTATATATTACAAATTATGTCTTATATGTTTATATATGATATGTATTACAAATTATTTCTTAAATACTGATATATATTTCTCTACTATGAAAAACGTAAATCTAAGTTTATGTGTACATACTGTGTGCATGGGGTGGAGAGAGTCCTGGTGGGGCCAGGGAGGAGGAGGAGAGGGGCCGTTTGTGGAGCTGGAGGTGTGAGGTGTGAAGCCACCTTGCAGCTACCTGAGAGAGTGTGTCCGTGTGCTCATCAGCTAATGGGTAATTTGGGTAGTTGCCAAATATAACATGATTTGGCGGTATAAACACACATTAGTGTTTGTTAATAGCAGATAATTTTTGTTGTCCACTTCTCTAATTCTCATTTCTTCTTTTTTTCCTTGCATTTGGGTTTCTTGAGGAGTTTTTATTTGCCCATGAAATCTAATCATCCATCTTTCCATCCATCCATCCATCCTTTCATTCCTCCATCCATCAATTGATTCATCCATGTATCTATCCATCCATACATTCACCCATCCATCCATCCATCCATCCTTCCTTGCATCTATCCTCCCTTCCTTCCCCCCTTCCTCCCTCCCTTCCTTCCTTTCTTCCACCCATCTGTTGATCTGTCCATCCACTCATCCATTGATCCTTCCATCCATCTACCCATCCATCCATCCATCCATCCATCCATCCACTCATTCATCCATCCATCCATCTTCCATCCATCCATCCTTCCATTCTTCCTCCATCCATCGTTTAACCATCCATCCATTTATCCATCCATCCATCCATCCACCCATCCATCCATCCATCCACCTATCCATCCATCCATCCACCTATCCATCCATTGATCCATCCATCCATCTTCCGTCCATCAATCCATCCGTTTATCCTCCATCTATCCTTCCTTCCTTCCATCTACCCATCCTTCCATCCTTCCTTCCATCCATCACTTAACCATCCATCCTTCCGTCTATTCCTCTATCTGTCCATCCATCGTTTCATCCATCCATTGATCCACCCATCCACACACTCACCCAACCATTCATCTGTCTAGTTATTCAGCTACCATTGAAGACCAGTCTTTCTTAACGCTTTCATACATTGTATTTCAAATGTTTGTCACACTCACCATAGACAATATTAGTACCCTCATTTCCAGATGACATACTGGAAGCTCAGAGAAGGGTAAGTGACTCACCCAAGTTCACACAGCTCACAAGTGGCAAATGTCAGCATTCCTGGTTTCACATTTCTTGTTCCTTACATAAAAATGATTGTCTTGTCTTTTCTGAAATGAAAATTGTTACTGTTTAAATCAAGCTGATAATTTGAAATATAACCTTAAAAATATTGGTAAAAGCAACCTTTAAAATTAATGGTTTAAAACCTCATTATGTATTCGTGCTCTTAATTTATATCTCAGGGTTTTTTTCCTATCATTTTTATTGTACTTGTTGAATAAAAAGCTTTTCTTCTTTTCAACTGGACAATTTGGGAAAATGAAGTTAATAGTGGAAATAATCATAAGAGCAGTATTCATATACCGTGGGTGTCAGGAATCATGGCATCAAAGCTAAGACAATTCCAATTTATTTTTTTAAATTATTTTTTAAATGTTTATTTTTGAGAGACAGAGAGAGATAGAGGGAGCATGAGCAAAAGAGAGGTGAAGAGAGAGGGGGACTCATAATCAGAAGCAGGCTTCAGGCTCTGAGCTGTCAGCACAGAGCCCGATGCGGGGCTTGAGCCCACAAACCGCGAGATCATGACCTGAGCTGAAGTTGGACGCTTAACTGACTGAGCCACCCAGGCACCCTAAGATATTTCCATTTTAAATGTTCACTTCAGGGGTAAAAGAACCAGTTCTACTAAAGTATTCATCACTATTTTAAGACCTTATAATAATCAGTTCCTAATCATCATGGCAATGAAGGCTCTACTTCATTAAGCACCTATTCTGTTAGACAGGTTAGTTGAGTAGACCCTCAAATGAAATCAATTAGCACCACAGCAATGATGAAAGCCACCTTGAGGAATCAAGGGTTGGAGTGAAAACAAGGCGACTTAATATATCAAAAGCAATAAGCCCAATACTTCCGTGTAGGTGCAGGGGAGAAAATTTAGTAATAAGTTATAAATCTAATTTCATAAGAAGAACCTAACGCTGTTCTCAATACTGTAAGTGTTGACAATTTTCTAGATTAAAGATCAGCACATTTCTTTCTTATACTATTTTCAAGTGACTTATGGATGACTTAGTTTGGATATGTGAAGGTCATGCTTTCCTTTCTCTTAACGTATTGAAATGAGGGGCGCCAAGGTGGCTCAGTCGGTTGAGCGTCCGACTTCTGCTCAGTTCATGATCTCATGGTAGGTGGGTTTGAGCCCCGTGTCAGGCTCTGTGCTGACAACGCGGAGCCTGGAGCCTGCTTCGGATTCTGTGTCTCCCTCTCTCTTTGCCCCTTCCTGCTGGTGCTCTGTCTCTCTCTCTCTCTCTCAAATGAATAAACATTTAAAAAAAATTAAAACAAAACCAAAAAAAACCCCTAAAGTATTGAAATGAACTTGGTGTCTCGAAATTTCTTATGAGACAAGAGGCGCCAAAGACAAAGACAAGAAAAATTATTCTGGAATTTACTGCCCCAAATCAGAATTGTGGCATGAAAGCTGTATCTAGGTCAGTCATTGAAAAGTGAGGCATCATGGGTGTGTACATGAGGGTCCCTGTTAGCCTGGGCATCCTGTATAGTGAATAACATTTTCTTTCTTTCTTTCTTTCTTTCTTTCTTTCTTTCTTTCTTTCTTTCTTTCTTTCTTTCTTTCTTTCTTTCTTTTTTTTTTACTGTGACAGCACCATTTTGCTTGAACCTCTATCAGGAAATTCTACAGTCCCCAAATGGCGCTTTGGTGTGGTCCTTCCTAAAGCCTGTATTACATGGAAAAATACTGTACACACCAAATACTCCAGAGATTAACGAGATCATTCAAAAGGTAAGTCTGAACGAATGAGATTTTATAGACCATCCAAGTATAGTACCAGGAAGACATCTTTAGCGATCCATAATGTTCTATACATTGGAACGCAGACGTTTTTGTGTGTTGAGTATGGTCCATCTTGGCCTTTTCCTGCCCTTGTGGTTAACCTTGGTTGGATGTGCCAAGGGGTCTCTCTCCTGGGGGGCGCTTTGGGGCAGGAGGTATTGTTTGGAGCACCCAGTGCGGTGAGGACAGTTGGACAGGAAGCTGGGCTGTCCCGGCCATTCCGAGGAGCATGCAGAGGACAAAGTCTAGTCTGTTTTGCTGGGTGCATCTGGCGCTTAAGGAAGAGTCAGACCCCACCTGTGTGTGGTCTCTGCCTGGTGAGGGACGCATCCGATTGGATAGTGAGGCCTTGGCAGCTTCACCCTGTGGAAGAGAAGTGCGGGGCGGGGGGGGGGGGGGGGGGGGGGGGGGGGGGGGGGGGGGCGGTGAATCAGCTGCCCCAGGAGCGATGCCAGCATTGCAGTGCTCTGCTTGTCCTTCGGTACCGCCTCCCACCTGGACGCTACGGGACATTGCTTGATGACCGTTCAAGCTTCAAATAGTGCTGATGTGAAAACAGAACAGGTAGGGCTGGTGGGGGTCATACGAGCAGGTGCATTACTTTTGGTCCAAGTGGACCTTGCACGCCCCATGGTCGCCATGAGAGCACCCCAGAGCCCTGGTTTCCCTGTGACACATGTCAGGGGCTGTCTTTACACGCCCTCTGAATGTGGCCAGTAACTTCTGTTTTCATCTTGAAAGTATCATCTCGGAGGGATATTTACCGAAATTCTGACTCTCGCAATGAAACGATGTTAATCTAGACGAACAGCCAAAGTTATTCCACGAACCGTGAGATCATGACCGGAGCCAAAACCAAGAGTTTTGGCTCCCTTTCTGGCTTTGTAGCCACTGTGCGTTGTTCTGGCAGTGACAGTCATTAGACGCTTGGTCTGAAGTCCCACTTGGCTGGAGGCCCTAAAAATTTTGGCACTCGTGTTCTGTGAAGCAACATCATCTATAGGGTGGGGGGCTCGATGTTGTAAACTATTTAGGACTTCGTCTTATTCTCCGCATTGCTTTATCTCTCTCTCTGTCTTTTTTTTTTTTTTTTTGCATTTATTTATTTTGAGAGAGAGAGAGAAAAACCATGAGTGGGGGAGGGGCAGAGAGCGAGGGAGACACAGAATCCGAAGCAGGCTCCAGGCTCTGAGCTGTTAGCATAGAGCTCCACACAGGGCTTGAACTCAGGGAATGCGAGATCATGACCTGAGCCAAAGTTGGACGCTCAACCGACTGAGCACCCAAGCACCCCCAGAACAGATTTTTAGCAGCAGTATTGTGACTCGGTCCATTCAGCTGCCTACCACCTCCATGTGAAGTGGCCATGTCTCTAGGAAAGAGTGTAATCTCATGTGGTTCGTCCTTGGTCACAGCATGCATGCAGGCAAGGCTGGGGGTCGGCTGCTCTGTCCCCACCCTTTGCATGAACTTGGACTTGTCGCTTTCCCTGTAAAGAGCTCTTCCCCGCCAGCAAAATGGAGGTGTGACCAAGCTCCAGGATTTCATTGGGGAGACTTGTCCGTGGGGATGCACCGTCGTCCATGGCATCCTTACCATGAGCTTCCCTGCTGGGCTCCCCATGGGTGTGCCCCCAAAACCATCTGCACCCTCTCCACTGACTACTTCCCACACCCTAAGAAAATAATGGCTATGATATCTAGGGAATACCCAGGGAATACCCACTCTTCATTCTGGAAGAGTATTTAGGTGTAGATTGATGGTATTTCCACATTACTATCCGAGAGATCTCAATCCATCAGTGTACTCTTTTAATATCATGGGTCAGAATTGTGTTTGGTTTTGGGGCACCTGGGTGGCTCAGTCGGTTAAGCTTCTGATTCTTGATTTCGACTCAGGCCATGATCTTACGGTTCATGGGTTCGAGCTCCGCATCAGGCTCTGTGCTCACAGCTCGGAGCCTGGAGCCTGCTTCGGATTCTGTGTCTCCCTCTCTCTGGCCCAGCCCCACTTGTACCCTATCTCTCTCTCTCTCTCAAAAATAAATAAGCATAAAAAATTTTAAAAAGAAAGAATTGTCTTTGGTTTTGGCCCCAGGATGATGGTCATTTTCTCACTGTTTTTCTTTTTCTCCACATCATTTCTTTTTTTTTTTTTTTTACGTTAAAGAAGTTTATTTAAGTAATCTCCACCCCTAGTGCGGGGCTTGAACTCACAACCCTGAGAACAAGAGTCACAGGCTCTACCACCTAGCCAGTTGGGCACCCCTGAAATCATTTCTTTTAAAATTTGTTTTTATCACTTTCTTTCTGCTTTCCTCAGATTTGTTGTATCATTGTACTATGTTGAATAATATTTGGTTCTTAGTTAATAACAAACCTACCAGAGTCTGAAATTTGGTTCTCTCTCGTATGTTGTTAGAGTTAATATCTTTGTTATTGTCTATATAAACATTTCCTAAATGATGTCGTATAACTCAAGAGTTACTTGTGATATTTAAAATTTGTAACTCGTTAAATTAAAAAGTGTTCACATGGGGCACCTGGGTGGCTCAGCATTAAGCATCTGACTTTGACTCAGGTCGTGAGCTCACAGTTTGTGAGCACGAGCCCCAGGTGAGCCCTGATTCTCTCTCTGCCCTTATGGGATTCACCACCCCCACCTCTGCCCTTTCAGTCACTTGCGCCCCCCCCCCAAAAAAAAAGAAAAGTGTTCACAGAAACTTTGGCTAAGAATTTCTAATTTCATAATACACACCTAGATGATTCATACATTTTGGGATTTTATTGTGTGTTAGTTTCAGTAAAATTTTCTTTGGTATTTGAATAACAAGGATGTGCATGTTTATATAGGATAAGTTTGGATATTTTAACTAATTTAGGTAGCAATAAGTGGTCATACAGAAAGATTATATATTTATATCAGGACATCTGGGTGGCTCAGTTCCTTGAGCACCTGAGTCTCGATTTTGACTCAGGCCACGATCCCAGGGTTGTGAGATCGCGCCCTGTATCAGGCTCCTCACTGAACACAGAGCCTGCTTGAGATTCTCTGCCCCTCTCCCCGACTTGTGCACTCACACGTGTGTGCACATGATCCGTCTGTCTCAAAAAAAAGAAAGATATATATATTTTATAAGTAATTGATTAACAACATTACACGTGTAAACATCCATATGTATCTGGTGTGGATGTGTATTCTCTGTACAGATAAGACTTTTGAGGTCTTATCTGGGTGCATCAAGAACACCATCCAGCCCCGGCACGAGGGTGTGCGGTTTGACTGCCCCAGGGGCTGTTTACTGAGCACTTACTGTGGCCCAGGCCAGGCCCTGAGATGCTATCCCGTGTCCTAATATCATCACCAACGCTACTGCCCTTCTTCTAGAAACCTGCGGCTGACAGTTAAGTAATGTGGGTGAGGCCAGGCAGCAAATAAATGGGAGAGCCATGGTTTGAACCCAGAGCAAGTGCTCGCCCAGGACTCGTTCTTCCAGGGCCGACTGCCTGGTTGTCGAGGGTGAGTTAGTGTTAGTGCGCGTCTCCTCGTACCCGAGCGCTGCCACATTCCTGTCTTCTTTCTTGTCAGTCTTACTTCACATATTTCGACGATATGTTCCTGAGTGCAGGAATGTTGATCACAGAAAATTGTAATTCTTTTTCAGAACCAAACAAACATTGTTCTACTTAATCTTTTTGCCACCAATTTAATTTCTTCTGTTGTTACCATTTCTAGCTTTTATGCTTTGGCTTACTATTCATTCATTTAATGTTTATTTAATTTTGAGAGAGAGAAAGACAGAGCATGAGCAGGGGAAGGTCATAGAGAGAGGGAGACACAGAATCCGAAATGGGCTCCAGGCTCTGAGCTGTCAGCACAGAGCCCGATGAGGGGCTCCAGCCCACCAACCGCAGGATCTGACCTGAGCCAAAGTCGGACGCTCAACTGACTGAGCCACCCAGGTGCTCTACGTCTGTTTTTTTTTTAAGATTTTATTTTTACATGATACTTATACCCAATGTGGGACTCGAACCCACAACCCTGAGATGGAGGGTCGCACGCTTCATGCCAGGCGCCCCTCCCTTATGTTTTTTAAATATGTGCTTACCTCCCACAGTTAGTGCTGTGAAACGGTTCTTTCTTAGTGACTTGGACACCACAGTTCAGCTGTGTGCCTCTGTCCCCGCCCCTCGCCCCACCTGTCGCCAAGGGAGCCTGAAACCCTATGGGTTTCTAGCATGTTGTCAGTGGCCACCATAAGTCAGCAATTGGGGGGTTCGAATTCCAGGTACCACCTTCCTATGATCACTTCATAATCGTTACAGTTAGTTTCAAGGATCACCGTTGGCATCTGGATTAAACCGTTGGCCGTGATTTAAAATCAGTTCTCTGTGTGAATACTTTCATGGCTTATCTCCATTCTGCACGTATTGGGAAATTTCTCTTCTTACACCTTTGACTTCGCCTGTACTCAGGTTGTCCTCAAGTGACTGTGAGGACCGTTCCCAGGTAGCATGAGCTCTTTCTTGTTTGGTCTCTGAAGACGGCTCTCCGGGGCTCCTCCTTTGCATCGTAGCCTGGCTGCACGGAGGAATTCTTGGTTTACGTTGTCTCTCGCTCAGGACTATAGAATGTGCTTTGCTGTCCACTGACCTTTAGTTTTGCAGAGAAGCTATATGAAATGACATGAATCCTTTTTTCCTTCTGAAGAAGCTTGTTGTGAACTCTGAGGGGCTCCTGGGTGGCTTATTAGGTTAAGTATAGGACTCTTGATTTCGCCTCAGGTCATAATCTCACAGTTTGTGAGTTTGGGCTCCACGTTGGGCTCTGCGCTGACAGGGTGGAGTCCGCTTGGGGTAATCTTTCCCTCTCTCTATGCCTCTACCCCTCCTCTCTTTCCCAAAATAAATAAACTTTAAAATAAATAAATAAATCATTTAAACGTAGAAAAGAAGTGTCTTGTGAACTCCTTGATGCACATGTATTCATTCTTTCAATTGGAATCCTGGAGTTGACGAGGTACGTTAGGCACTTGTCGGTTCTTAATGATTTTGCTATAACAAAGGCTCCGAAATTTGCACACTCAGTGGTGCTTGTGAGCGATAGTGATTCCTGACCCCACTCTGGCCCTTTACCTCGCCTGGGATTTGAACCCTCCTTGGCTTAGATCTCTGGCATCTGTCCTCGATTCTGGTTTTGCTTCTTCTCTTCTCTGTCTCGTGGCTGCCCTCGGGGGGCCAGGATGGCGTCCCAGGTGGGTTCTGTGCGGAGACTGGTCCTGTTGCCGTTTTCAGAGCACTGCCTGTCGGCCATCTGCTGGTCCTGGGCTCGCGGCGCCATGGGCCACCTTCGGTGGTGGCCCCTTACCCAGACACTCCTTCTTACTGCCACCTTCTCGGCTGTCTACGACCAGTCGTGACAGTAAGGAAGAAAACATGAAGCAGGCGTCATCTACATTTTCTCCTCTCCTTCGTGAAAGCATGAACCTCTCTCTTCATTCCCATGGTGGCCTTGTCTCTTGACTAGAAGCTTCACTTCGCACGCCCCAGAAGTCGAGCATCACACTTACCCAGTGCGGGCCAGCACGTGTGTGAGTCCAGGTGGCCCAGGTTCACGTGCAGGCAGAGTGAGACGTGATTCTGCACCGATCCATGAGGCCGGCAGCCAAGTCCCGGGAAGAGAGGATCCCGGCCAGGCTGGGGGAAGGGGCCGCCATCTGCGGATGCCCTGGGCTTGCTCTGGAGGGGAGCTCCTGCCCCGTTTTGGAGCCGGGAGTGCGCTTTCCTGTCTTTTCTGGGCCAGCTGATTTTCAGCTCCTCACCTGACATGACCTGGGGCATTTGGAGGGTCTCCTGGTGACCCCAGGGGTGTGTGGTTGTACTCCCCCAGACCCTCCTTACTTACCCTTCTCTTTGGCATTTAGACTCATTTCAGTATTAAAAATATAGTGACATTCCATAGACAGTTTCATGGAGTTACCTTTATATTTATTTCATTTGTTTATTTATTTATTTTTGAAAGACAGAGTGAGACAGAGTGAGGGGAAGAGGGGCAGAGAGAGAAGGAGACACAGAATCCAAAGCAGCCTCCAGACTCTGAGCAAACATTCAGCACAGAGCCTGACACGGGGCTCAAACCCACAAACCATGAGAACATGACCTGAGCCAAAGTCAGACACTTAGCCAACTGAGCCACCCAGGCGCTCCTATTTATTTTTTCAATGTTTATTCATTTTGAGAGAGACAGAGCAGGCAAGCAGAGGAGGGGCAGAGAGAGAATCCCAAGCAGGCTCCTCGCGGTCAGCACAGAGCCCAACGTGGGGCTCGAACCCACGAACCGTGAGATCATGACCTGAGCCGAAATCAAACGCTTAACTGGCTGAAGCACCCAGGTGCCCCTCCATTTCATTTAAATCATTTCTAAGGATAGAGTCCTTTTATCTTTAGGGGAAAAAAACGGCATGGGCATTTTTGTTGTTGTTGTTGCGGGTCAGTGACTATGAATATTTTGATGATTCTAAACTATTTTCTAAGAATCTTGGGTTTGTTTGCTCCACCAGGAGCAACAATGATCGAGTACAACCAGGTGTGCTGTATCTTCAACGGCGATGGGTGTCGTAGAACAAATATGCGGGGATTACCTGAGAGCGTATTTTCGAGGAGGAGATGTGGGCAAACGGTCTTTTATTTAGGCGGTGTGTTCTGAGGACATCGGCTGTCCCCCTCAGTGAGCTGAGCCCCCGAGGGGACTGCGGTGAACAGGAAGGTGCAGAGAGAGTCTGGAGGAGAGGCCTCTGGACTCCCCTCTGAGATTAGGACACCGGAGCCGGTCACCTGCCCAGGGGCAATGTCGGCTGGCCTGCCCCATGGCATTGGCGCATCTTTGCTCTGATGGCCGGTCCTGTCCTACGGCTTCTGGTCCCTGCTGTAGCCACACGGTGGTCCCTAACAGTCTTCCTGAGGTGGCCCTGCAGAACTAGAGACGAACCCACGTATGCTTTCTTTTGCAGGCAAATTACACTTTTCATTTCGTGGACAAGCTGAAGACTTTAACAGAAACACTGCTGAAAATGTCCAGCGTGCTTCAGCGCGGAGGAAGTGGCCAGATGGTCAGCCAGCTGAAGGTCAGTGGTGGCTTGCTCCCAGGCACCTGCGGGGACGCGTCTGTGACATCGGGGCGGCCCCCTCAGGAGACCCCACAGAGCTCCTCGTGTGTGTGTGTGTCAGCTGACTAATAACATTGACCCGAAGGTGAGCCTGTGAGGCAGTGTTGTGAATTGTCAAGGGTTTTATTCATGCCAGATGTCACTGTTATGTTCATGATGAATAATTTATTAACACTGGCATGCTTTTTCAATTCCATCACTTAAAAAATGTTTTTAACGTTTATTTTTGAGAGAGAGATTGAGAGAGGGCACGAGTGTGGGAGGGGCAGAGAGAGAGGGAGACACAGAATCCGAAGCAGGCTCCAGGCTCCGAGCTGTCAGCACAGAGTCCGATGTGGGGCTCGGACTTGAACTGAGAGATCATGACCTGAGCCGAAGTCGGACACTTAACTGACTGAGCTCCCCCAGGCGCCCCTCAATTCCATAACTGAGATGGAGGCACAATTCCGTACCTTAATGCTCTTTTGAGTGGTTTGTGTACTGTTCATCTGTGGGTCTGCTTAAAGGATCAGTTATCATCCCCTGACATTGTGTATCGACAGCCTAATATGTTCCAGAATTCGGGGGCTGTGGTTTAAGATGGGGCTGCAGAGCCCCACAGCCGTGAACTTCAGAACTTTGACTGAGGTAGGCCGCATAACAGCCTGGGGCCATTTGTGTAATAACCCTAGCTCACCTGAAGTCCGGTAGCCTGAGGAAGCCTGCCTGCATTTTTATTCTTATTCAGCCCGTTTCTTGTGCACCAGGTGATTCATGGTGTGGACTCAGGAGCCTGCTTGTCTGGGTTTGCTGCACAGTTGAGCCCAGCTTACTGGGCTGTGTGCTCTTGGACAGCTTATTGAACTTCTCTGTGCCATGAGTTTCTTACCTGTGCCGTGAGGAAATAGTCATAGTTATATGCTGTAAATCAGGGCATGGGAGGCACTTGGAATAGTATTTGGCACGCTGGAAATGCTTCTACATCTGGGGAGGGGCGGGGGGGGGGAAGGAGAGAGAATCCATGCAGGCTCCATGCTGTTAGTGCAGAGCCCTATGCGGGGCTCGAGCTCACGAACTGTGAGATCATGACCTGAGCTGACATCAAGAGTCAGACGCTTAACCGCCTGAGTTCCCCAGGCGCCTGTAGGCAGGAGAATTTTATTATGGGACAGGGAGGCCAAGGGGCTGGGGAGCCTGGGCGCATAGTCACCTGAGGACATGCAGGTGCGACCCCGGGACCCGAGAGGGAGGGCGGCTGGGCTGGAGCATCCTAGCCGGTCATGCAAAGTTGCGAATACACTGTCCAGAGGTGCGGTCAGTTCTCCCCAGGGAGTCCTGTGCCTGGGGTCTTGCGGCTCCTGGTGGTGGGCCTGGCCGGGCGGTCGTGGCCCAGGACAAACCCAGGCGGTTATCGAGCCCAGTGGCAGTCGTCGGTTCTGTCCTGGTCTTTGAAGGTCCGCGGCGCCGCCTCTCAGGGTGGCCACCACCGTGTGAGCGCTGGCGGTATTGTGTTCTCTTTTGACCTGTCTGCTCACGGACTAGCGGGTTACTACAGGGATCAGCAGGCTTTTTCTCTAACGGGTCGGATGGTGGATGGCGTAGGCGTTCATAACGTCTCTGCTGGGACTGGAAGTTATTACACGCAGCAGTAGAAACAACAAATGCAGAGTCCTCAGAGTCACGTGAGGAAGTGACCGGTGCCCGAGCGTCCCTCGCGCCGCACGGCTCCTTGGAGAGGTCATCTGATGAGGTCCACCAGGCAGTCGTGTTAGCAACGCAACCCTTTCCTCAGTCTCCGGAGGTGCTTTCTCAGCTCAGAGGACAAAGCGTGCTGAGCAGGGCTCTGTTTCCCGGCGTGGGGGGCAAGGTCAGGGAGTGCGGAGCTCCTCTCGGCGTTCAGTGGCTGACAGCTGTGTTCCGGGCCACACTCTGCCACCAGAGGCTTAGGCTCGTGCCTTCACAGGTGCCCGAGGCCCAGACTTCTTCCCAGTCAGTTAAGAGCAAGAGATCTCCTCTCAGAGATGTGGCTGAGATTCAGTGACTAACCCACCTGTGTCTGCCACGTCGCTAATGCCTGACAAAAAAGAAATAATATTCCACAAGATAAGAGTGCACAGCTGTGATCCGTAGACAAGTCGCTGAAATCATCACATCTATGGGGTGGAGGCGAGAAAGCAGAGAGCTCTGTGCAGGAGGTGGGCCACGGTCGAGAATTCCTTATGAGGACTTCCAAGGTGCAAGGTTGTGCGCTAACACCAAGTCAGGGTCACATATAAATATTCCCTAGTGAACGGACAGGTTCCAGAAGTCGTCCCCGTTCCGATAGTCTCCCCGCTCCCCCCCAACCCCCACCGCTTAATCCCGGCGCTGGCCTCACGGGATTTTGTCCTCTGTCTCGTGTGCGCTGTTGGATTGTAGGGGACAGTACCCTTCAAGTCAGTGCGCATGCCCTCTGCAAGATCAAGAGGCAAAGTTTCATTAAATCACCTTGGAGGGGCGCCTGGGGGGCTCGGTCCGTTGAGCATCTGACTCTTGGTTTATGCTCAGGTCATGATCTCAAGGTTCATGAGATCATGCCCTGCTCAGGGCCTGCTTGGGATTCCCTGTCTCCCTCTCTCTCTGCCCCCCTCCATTCTCTCTCTCTCTCTCTCTCTCAAAATAAATAAATAAGCATTAAAAATATCACTCTGGAGAGCCCTCTGTAGGGAAACCATTGACAAAGGAGAGATAAAGTCATCATTGTGTATATAAGTGGGGTCACAGCCATCATGATATGAAAGTTTATCCCAAAAATGAGATTTGGTTGCCGAAGGATTGAGAGAGGGCTCGAGAAATGCAGAAACCCTTCCTCAGTGCTTCTCTGACAGCAACCCCCTCCCCACAGCTGGCCTGTGGAGAAGACAATGATATAAGGGTCACCGTCCACTTTTGTTAGAAAATTTTGCTGAAAGGTCACTCTTGGTTCATTCTTGGTTATCGAGATTAGTGCGTGACTTTAACGACAATCTGGATTGTCACAACTGCTGCTTTTGGTTTTCAGGATAACATTGTCATCAAATGTTATGCTGTTATTTACCATGATTTGTAGACTTTTTTTTTTAACCACGATTCACTTTATGTGTCCTTTTCCTATATAATGAAGCTTTGAATTAACCTAACAAGTATTTTTTACTGAATGATAAATGAGGAAATGAGGTTATTGTTGTTAAGCCATGTTATTCCCCTTTAGGAAGCCCTGAGAAACAAATTCATAAGAAACTTTGTAGAAAGCCAGCTGCACATTGATGTAGACACGCTGGTGGAGAAGCTGCAGATGTACGGTAAGTAGGTGGGTGTGTGGGTGTAAATGGGAGGGTGTGAGCAGAATTGTGCAAGCACATGAGTGTCTAAGTGGGTAGGCGTGCGAGCCGGAACAAGGTGTGCAAAAGCATACACAAGCAGGTGTGCAAGTGGACATGGGTGAGTATGCACTGCAGGGTGGGTGTGCAAGTGCATGTGGGTGAGTGTGCAGTATAAGTAGGTGGGTGTTCGAGTGCACATGATGAATGTCTGAGGGTACGTGGGTGGGTCCACCTCCCGATTGGCCCACCGCTGGGAAACATCTTCCTGCCTCTGAGTTTCGGGGAGATACTGACCAGTCGCTCTTCCTCTCAGGTTTCTGGTTTCTCGTCCCCAAAACTAGAAACGCTCTACTTTGTTTCAACTTGCAGTTTTCTGATTTGCCGAGTCAGGGCGTGAGGAGCAAGGAACGCAGCTGAAAAGGAAGGCTTCTGATATTGAAGGCAAGGATTTTGAGACTTCCAATAAGTTTGTAAAACAACGGAGTGTTCCTGAGTTAGGGGCTGATGGAAAGCAGGGACGTTGAGGTGAACATTTGGAGCTCAGACTAAAATGTTGAATCAATCAGCCAATGGTTGTATTGCATCTGTAGTTTGTCAATGCATGAATCTATTTTATTTTTAAGTTTATTTAGTTTTGAGAGAGAGAGAGAGAGAGTGAGCGTGTGCAGTGGGGGAGGGGCAGAGAGGGAGACACAGAATCTGAAATGGACCTGTGCGGATAGCAGGGAGCCTGATGTGGGGCTCGAACTCACGAACCGTGAGCTCATGACCTGAGCTGAAATCTAAGAGCCCGATACTTAACCAACTAAGCCACCCAGGCACCCCTTGCATTTTATTTTTTATTGCGAACACGTGAAATACTTATATTTTCTTCCACTGGCAGTCTGGGTTCCTGCCTGAGCGAGCTGGTCATGTCCTCGGACAGGTGGGGGCCGTTACTACGTTCTGTGTTTGGGAGACGCAGCCGTTTCATCTTACAGGAGGGGAACAGGACACATGCCTCTGGTCAGAGGACTGCTGGCTGGGTTCCCTGCCCAAGCGAGGCTGTGGAACGGACTGTAAGATTGTCTGATTCTCTCTCTGGTCAGGCTCCCTGGGTGGTTGAGACGGGGTGTCTGTTCCGTAGTGGAGGCGGCGATGAATTAGCTTCTGGGCCCTGGGGGGTCATCAGCACGGGGCCAGAGCCTACAGGGACCCGAATCAGGACAGAATGTGCACTGACTTTCCTGGCCAGGTGAGGCTTTTGCTCTGCAGATGGGAGAAGCCCCAGGCCGAGCTTCCCTCTCAGGAAGCACCGTGTGTAGGGTGGTTGAACGGGCTGCGAAGCTTCCCGGGTGCTCTGCTTAGGGTCTGTGGTTACACGGCCACAGATCCGATTCTTGGTTCTGGTGCCGTGGGAGACGCAGCCCTAAAGCTCATTAGGCTCTTTGTCTTGACTGGAGCCGACCCGCACCCCAAGTTCCCTGACCCAGAGGAGCCACCAGCTTTGTTCTGCAAACTACCATCTCTGCATCACCGGGAGCGCCATACACAGGGCGCTTCTGAACAGGATCCCCGAGGCTCACACAGGATGGCGGTGTGTGCGTGCCAGAGCACGGGCTCGGGTGCCGTGGCCACCAGCCCTTGTCCGTCACGGTGTCCGGCCCTCCCTCCCTCCTGAAGCTGGGGGCCGGAGCACCCCTGGAGGCTACCAGAGAGCCCTGGGATTACAGAGTTCCTGGGGGTGACCAGTGCGGTTGGCTGGGTAGCGAATGGACTTCACACGTTCAAGAGCAAAACAGTCCGGAGCTAGAAGGCTGGCCGTTCCGCACTTGCCAGCAAGCATGTGATCTCCTTCCGTAATGCGCAAAGGTGTTGTAAAGACAAAACAGCGTATACATTGAGATGCCCTTTCTCAGAACATTCTCCTCGTGCTTCTGTTTCTTGAGGTTTCCCAGTTGATGGTTCTGTTCAGTCTGAAAGATGTGAGGCTGGATGTGGGCTCATGTGGTTCATCCTAATTTAAGGGGTGCTTCTGGAGAGAAAGGGGTGACCAGAAGCTGATGTGCCTGCTTAGGGACAGTCCCTGTGGAAGCAGGTCTCACAGCTGAGGGAAGGGACAGTGGCATTTAAGACCTGTCCCGATACCATGATAGGTCTATGTAGTTTTAGGATTTGCTGTGTGTTTTTATGTGCGTTGTGGGTGTGTAAAGATACGTTGGTCTGTTTTCATGTGCGCTCATCATTTTTTGGTTAAGTCTTTCATTATTTTTTTAAATTTTATTATTTATTTCATTTTATTAACATTTTTAACATTTATTTATTTTTGAGAGAGAGAGAGAGAGACAGAGCACAAGTGGGGGAGGGGTAGAGAGGGAAGGCGATCATAGAATCTGAAGCAGGTTCCAGGCTCTGAGCTGTCAGCACAGAGCCCGACACGGGGCTTGAACTCACGAACCACAAGATCATGACCCAAGCTGAAGTCGGCCGCTTAACCAACCGAGCCACCCAGGTGCCCCGAGTCTTTCATTTTACGAAACCCCAGCAGTCTGCTCTCAGCCTCCTGAGGGGTGAGGCTGAGGGGGGCGAAGTGGTTTGTTCAAATGGGCTGCAGGCGCGTTGGGCCCGTGACACTGTGATATTGGCCACTGTGGCGGGTGTAATGGTGTCTCCGCACAGAGCCGGGCACAGGGCTGGCCTGTGGTCCTCAGTTTCCCGCCTGTGTCTGCTGAGCCCGTCTGGAATCCCTTCCCGCTTGGGGCTGAGTTCTGGGTGGGCGTTCTCCCTGCCGCTGCCCTACTGTATCGTTTCGTGTCTATCTCTGGCCTGCTGCCCTGTGTCCCTGCCCCCTGCCCTGTGTCCCTGCCCCCTGCCCTGTGTCCCTGCCCCCTGCCCTGTGTCCCTGCCCTGTGTCCCTGCCCTGTGTCCCCTGCCCCCTGCCCTGTGTCCCTGCCCCCTGCCCTGTGTCCCCTGCCCTGTGTCCCTGCCCTGTGTCCCTGCCCCCTGCCCTGTGTCCCTGCCCTGTGTCCCCTTTCCCTTGCCCTGTGTTCCCAGACGCAGGCTGGTCCTCTGTGCTTCCATGGCGCTCTCTCCTTCCCATGGCAGGACCAGCATCGCGGAAGGTAGCCCGGTTTGTACATGAACAAAATGTGACTCTTTGTTGAGTCATTTTTTTCCATGGAGGGATGTTCCCCCTCATAAGCCCTGGGCTGGGAGAAGGGTTGCAATGGTCTCGTTACGCTTGCTCCTCAGGAGAGAAGCTGGACGAGCTGTTTGCGCACGGGGGTGCCGGGCGCCTCCGCGTCCTGGGCCGCGTCTTGGTCAACCTGTCGTCCTGTGTGGCGTTGAACCGCTTCCAGGCCCTGGGGTCTGTCGCCAGCCTGGAGGCCAGAGCCCGTGAGCTCATGCAGCGCAATGACTTCTTGGCCAGTAAGTACCCGTGTGGGCGCGGGCCCCAGTGTGTCTACCCTTGTGCGTTTCTCCCTAAATGCGCGTGACAGTGGCTCAGAAAGAAAAGAAGTCATTTCCCGGTAAAACACACCGAGCAGAAAGCCTCACCTCGAGTTGACGCGAAGACAGGCATCGTATGCGGCTGTTGGTGTCCCGTCCTGGGCCCCACGCTATTTGCTGCATCTGTCTTTACAAGTTTGTGGTGTCATTTTGGGGTTAAATTCTGCAAGATAAATTTTATCTTTACTGATTAAAGTTATGCTCCGATTTCCTCGTCACTTAAAATTTTTTTTTTAAAATTTTATTTATTTATTTTGAGAGAGAGACAGAGAGGGAGGGAGGGAGAGAGAGAGGGAGAGAGCGAGAGTGCTTGCACAGGGGAGGGACAGAGAGACAGCGAGAATCCCAAGCAGGCTCCGCACTCTCAGCACAGAGCCCGATGCGGGACTCGAACTCATGAACTGTGAGATCGTGACCTAGCCAAAACCAAAAGTCAGACTCCTCTTCCTTATCACTTTTACTTTTACCCCAGTATCTTGACGTCCTAGGGCTGGACCAGGCCAGGGGAGAAGACAGTGGCCAATGGACTCCATTCATTCCTGTTCATTCATTCAGGATAAAAGTGATGTGCTGTGTGTTCTCATCTTCATTTGGATTAAACAAACATTGATTTATTTCTTCATTTGGGTTTGTATGAGTTTTCCGAGGGCTGTGGAGACGCAGGACCACAGACTGCCTTCACGTGTATTTTCGAGTTTATGTTCTCATGGTTCTGGCCACAAGTCCAAGATCAAGGTGTCAGCAGGGGGTGCCCCTCCTGTGGCCATAAGGTGGAACCTGCCGTGGCCTCCCCGGGCGCTTCGATGCCTCCTTCTCCTGTGTCTCTTTGCAAGTGCCCTCTGTGTGTGTCGGGGTCCAGTGTCCCCTCCGTTAGAAGGCAGCAGTCATCTTGGGTGAGAGCCTGCCCTGATGACCTCCTTTTCACATGCTTACCCCCCCCCCCCCCCCCCCCCCCCCCCCCGCCCGTGAAGATACTGAGTTCAAACAACTCACGTTGTGGGCTGCTGGGGGTGAGGACTTCACACGTGAGCTTCAGGAGGGTCTGCTTGCACCCCAGCAGGTGTCACAGATGAGGTTTGGGGACCCCTCGTGCCAGAACACGTGTTTACGTTTTGAATCGTCAGTAAACCCCAAGGACGTCCGTTCCTGGTTCTTGATTGAACTCTGGTTGACACACGTTCCATCCATGTGGCTCGATGTCACAGTCCCTCGCACTGTGCTCACAGCTGGCGTGGCTCCTGTCAGTCACCACACCATCGCCTGTGCAGACGGAGTCCTTGCCCCTGGAAGGGAGCCTGAACACCCCACCCGCCACCCACTCGTCATTCCCAGAGAAGGAAAGCCTGATCATTTGAGCAGCTGTGTGTCACCTGTCAAGTCCTCTAAAAATGCAAAAGGAATCATTTTCTTAGGGATTTCTGTGTACAAATGATTTTGGTGCAAATAATTAAAGACATCATGGTGAGAGGTGCCTGGGCGGCTCCGTCGGTTAAGCGTCTGACTTCGGCTCAGGTCATGATCTCGCTGTTTGTGAGTTCAAGCCCCGTGTCGGGCTCTGTGCTGACAGCTCAGAGCCTGGAGCCTGCTTAGGATTCTGTGTCCCCCTCTCTTTCTTGCCCCTCCCCTGCTTGTGCTCTGCCTCTCTCTCTCAGAAACAAAAAAAAAAAAGAAACATTATATATATATATATTAAAAAAAGACATCGCAGTGGAGATTTATGAAAAATAGGGGAGCGTGTTGGCTGGGGAATTAGGTGTCCTTGGGTCTCACTTTCCCAGTTCCTGCCTGTGGAACATGGAGAATCAGCTTTGTGTCCCCGTGGGGCATGTCCCCTTGCACAGAGAAGGCTGGGCCACATCTCACAGCCCGTCCACGTGTCCTCAACCCGCGCTGGCCCCGGGTGAGCTGTACCTGAAGTGCGATGACCCATCTTCCCTTTCCTCTCCAGGTATCATATTCAACAGTTCACTGGCCCACAGGGACTTGGGGACGCCGTCCCCGCACCTGCCGCCCCACGTCACCTACACCATCCGCACCAGCGTCTTGCACAGCATGAGGACGGATTTGGTGAAAAACCCTTTCTGGAAGTTCCATCCTCAGAGCCTCCCGGCTGATGTGTTCAAGTACAACTACATCTTTGCCCCTTTGCAAGACATGATCGAACGAGCCATCATCTCGGTGCAGACCGGGCGGGAGGCTGTGGAGCCGGCCACGCAGACGCAGGCCATCCCGTACCCCTGTCACACCAGGGACCTGTGAGTAGTCGTCCCTGCCATGTGCCTGCTTTTCGGCGAGAAGCACCTTGCGTTTGGCGTGCCGACTAGAGGGAAGCCTAGGAGCTTCTCTGCAGTCAGGCCAGAGAGCATTTAAGGAAAGCCCCTCCCCCTGTTTAATTTCTTAAGCTCCATTTACTATGCCCGAGCTGTCCAGAACGAGATTGATCGTTGAGGTACTGTGATCGTGTAGTTTAGCTCTGACGCAGACTTACCTGTAGTGTTAACGATCCTTCGGAAGGAATGTGAACAGTACTCACAGGGGTTAAGCATGTCTGACTCCAATGCCAGCCATCTGAGCTCGGGAAACAGAAGGTCATTAGTTCGTCAGTGCAAATCCTACCTAAAAGTAGATTACTCACCCCCTACATTCAGGGAGGATGGGGATTCACAGAACCCGGGACAGCAGCTTAGGGATGTGAGAGGCAGTCTGAGAACACGCAGGAGTTAACGGGTGACCGGGTGACCGGGCTGGTGACGTCCTTGCAGGGGAGAGAAGGGATGGGAAGGTATGAGCTGGAGCGGCTGGACCACAGCCCTTGGAGGAGCATGGGGGCAGGGCCAGGTGGGGTTTGCAAAGCGGTATAGACAGTGTGCCCAGCTGCCCCTAGGTGCCCAACAGCCGCCTTGCTGAGAGCCCCGGCTCAGCCTTCAAGGATGCTGTTCCTCAGGCATCTCATCCTGTGCCCGGACCGAGACCCCAGGCTGCAGGCGTGGGGAGCAGGGAAGAGAGGGGCGAGGGTGAGGTCATCAGAGGCACCACCTGGATTGTCTTTGTTATGAGGGCAGGCAGCAGATGCCCGTCCTTCCCTACGGCCCCGTGGAGCAGAGGGCTGCTGCGCAGAAGCCAGGCATCTTGACGTCTTACCCCCTCCTTCCTGTCTGGCCCCATGCCTTCTGCATAACACCTCATCAGTACATTTTCATGAGGTGAAAGGTGGCATCGTGGGAAGAACCCTCCCACCGCAAAGGCCGTACCCCGCGTGTTTATGCTTCTCTTGGGGGGTCAGAGCGGGGCGAACCCAGCAGGGCTCAGGACCACAGACTCGGCTGTCATTTTATCCCAGGGACTGCCTCACTGTGCAGACCGCTGGCAAATCTCTTAACCTCCTCCTCCTTCTTTTTTTTTTTAAACGTTTTTTCATTTTTTGGAAAGACAGAGAGAGAGCAGGGGAGGGGCAGAGAGGAAGACACAGAATCCAAAACAGGCTCCAGGCTCCGAAATGTGAGCACAGAGCCCGACACGGGGCTCAAACCCAGGAACCACGAGATCATGACTTGAACCAAAGTCGGATGCTTAGCTGACTGAGCCACCCAGGTGCCCCTTAACCCCCTTCTTTGCAAAATGAAAGCTTCTCTTTCCTTTCGAGGCAATGACCACTTTGGTTTGAACATTTTCAGCCATCGCTCTTCTCCTGAACTATTTTTCTGGGAGATATTGGCACCAAGAGCAGAAATGAGGTAACCACTCTTCCTGGTAGAGCGTCATGCACCGAACTTCACAGCAACAAACCAGGGCCCCATGCCGTTCAGTGACCTGTTTCCAGAAATTGACTTTTTACGATGCTGTCTTTTTATTTGAATCTTGGGGACGATCACATTCTGAAAGCCTTTCTCTAGCTCTGAGGCATGCCCTTGACCTTGGCCCTGGAAGAGGGGCCCTGTGTGTGCAGGTGTAAGATGCAGATTCTGTCTGGTCCCGTTCTCAGGATGCAGCTGGGTTCACTTCGTCCCGCCCCCCCCCCCCCCCCCCCCGATGCAGGGCAGCCCCAGGAGGGTGTGTTGGGAAGAGCAGTACAAACAGCTTATTGTCAAGTCTGTGGTGGCCTGTGAGGTCCCTGGTGCTCAGCTAACAGGCTTGGTGACGGGGTGGGACAGAGGCCAGGTAGGGTGGTGAAGATGTGCCCTTTCACTCCATGACAATAAGTTCTTGTTAATGAGACATATTGGGGTCTCGGGCTAGAGCGAGCGAGAGCCCCAGGAAGATTCCTTTCTCTTTTTCTACCCTAGAAGCATAGCTGACAGCTGCAGGTGTAGACACGGGGTTCAGCACCGCCGCACACCGCTCAGCACTCATCACGTTCAGGGCACTTACCGTTTGTCACCATGTTCCTGCAGTGCTATGGACTCCGTTCCCTATGCTGTACTTTTCATCTCCCTGACTTACTTAGCTTATAACTGGAAGTTTGTATGTCTTTATCCCATCACGTATGTTGCCCATCACCCCCTGTCTGGCAACTGCCAGCTTGATCTCTGTATTTATGCATCTGTTTCTGTGTTTCTGTTGTTTGTTTCTTTTGGTGTTTTAGATCCCGCATATAAGCGAAATCATGTGGTATTTGTTGTTTTCTGTCTTATTCTGCTTTGCATTATACTCTCTAGGTCCATCCGTGTTGTCGCAAAAGGCGAGATCACATCCTTTTTGTTGGCCGAGTAATATTCCATTGTCTTTTCATTGCCTCTTTGTCCATTTGTCTATCGATGGACATTTGGGTCGAAATATCCCTGCCTTGGGCTGAGTGAGCCACGTGTCCTGCCATGATCCTGGGTCATGGATTCAACATTACGCATTCCCTCCATGGGATAGCACAGCACCGTTTCTCACAAGTCTTTATTTTACTCCTTTGAGGAGGTGAAGAAGTATTCTCCCTCTTGAAACATTCAAGTCTTTGAGGCTCTCATTGCTGTATATGCTTCTTCTATTTCTCGTCTCAGAAAGCGTCTGTATCTGTGGTTGGGTGAGCCTGTAGTGAGCTGAGGCACAGCTGAGATCTTCCAAGATCCTGAGTGATCCTTCTCAAGCCCCGCGTCCACCGCAGAAATTTTTAGCAGCTCCCTACTCTATGCTTGATGAGTTGTATTGTCCTTAATGTACCCATTTATTCAACTACATCTGTGTAGTCTTTGTCTCCAGACCTGGGTGCATCATTGAAGGGATAGGCGAACATCCCTGCTCTCTTGGGGGCACCTGGGTGGCTCGGTTGGTTAAGCACATGACTTTGGCTCAGGTCATGATCTCGTGGTCTGTGAGTTCGAGCCCTGTGTTGGGCTCTGTGCTGACAGCTCAGGGCCTGGAGCCTGCTTCAGATTCTGTGTTCCCCATTCTCTCTGTGCCTCCCCTGCTCGTGCTCTGTCTGTCTGTCTCTCTCTCAAAAATAAACACTAAGAAAAAGAATGAAACAAGAAAAGAAATTCCTGCTCTTGTGACAGAGTTCAGGGACGCCGAGTCTACAGACACGATAAAGGAGAAGCTTGAAGACTGGAAGGCAGTAAGAGCCAGGCAGGTGGAGGGTGAGGGTGGCCAGGAGTGCCCAGAGGAATTATTAATGTGGCTAGGGTCAGCCCTGCCAGCAAGGTGACATTCAATCTGTTGAACATGAAAAATTCAACTGAGTAAATTTAAAGATCAAATGGGCTTTGTTTGAGGATTCATGAATCAGGCATCAGGCATCCCCATTTGGCAAATACAAAGGAGCTTCCAGAGCTGGAGGAAGGGAAAGGCTTTTAAATGCAAAAGACGGGTGTTAAAAGGAAATGATTAGCAAAGAATGGACAGTTTCAGGCACGGCCGCCCTCACAGGGGGAAAGGAAGGGGTCTGTCCCGCAGGCACGTGCTGTCTCACTCAGGCACTATCTCACTCCTGTCGACCAGGTAATCCCCGGGTGACTGCTTAAAGTTTACATATTTTCTGGTTAGTTCGACTACAGTTAGGCTGAGCCCGAAGTCTTGGTTTGCTAATGAGGGGCTCCGCACAATCGACTGTTCTGGGTCTGTTGTCTATTATTTTATTGTATCTTTACTTTTTAAAATTTTTTTATTTTTAAAGTTTTTGCTTTTAAAACCTTTTAGGTAAAAGTTTATTATGTATCATTAGCCTTTTACAGCTGTCATCTTTCCTCTGTTGTCATGGTGCTTTTTTTCTTTTTTTTTTAAATAGTTTATTGTCAAGTTGGTTTCCATATAACACCCAGTGCTCATCCCCACAAGTGCCCGCCTCGATGCCCATCACCCCCCAATCTTTATTTTTGAGAGAGAGCGCAAGTGGGGGAGGGGAAGAGAGAGAGGCGGACAGAGGATCAGAAGCAGGCTCTGCACTGACTGCAGCGACCCCGATGTGGGGCTTGAACTCACGCACCTCGAGACCGTGGCTAAAGCTGAAGTTGGTTGCTCAACCGACTGAGCCTCCTGGGCACCCCCTGTGGTCTGTTTCTTAGCAGAGCAAGGACTGGAGGAGGAGCAGCCAGCCAGGGCAAGGGCCCTGGGGCAGGCGTGGCCCAGTGTGAGTGAAGATGCCCAGGAGCAGAGCACCCAAGGGCGTGAGTGTGGGAGATGACATCACAGAGCAGCCCACGGATTTCGTGGTTGCAGGTGATCTGAGGATGTACGAGCTGCTGGAGGGTCTTGAGCTGAAGTGACGCCATCTGACTCACAGCGCAGAGGCTCGCTCATGCTGTGGAAACAGAAATCCTTAGGGGTGGCTGGGGGGCTCCGTCAGTTAAGCATCTGACTTTGGCTCAGGTCGTGATTGCAGGGTTTGAGAGTTCGAGCCCTGCTTCTTTGCTGACAGCTCGGAGCCTGGAGCCTGCTTCGGACTCTGTGTCTCCCTTTATGCCCCTCCCTTGCTCACGCTCTGTCTCTGTCTCTCTCTCTCTCTCAAAAATAAATGAAAACATTAAATAAAAAAAAGAAGAAGCCCTTAGGCTGGCGCGCTTCCCCAGGTGGGAGGTGACTGTGGCCTGGCCCGGGGTGGTCGCAGGGACGAGGTGGGACTTGGTCAGATTCTGGGTGTTTTCAGACGGGAGGGGGCAGACTTGAGGGTGTGATCCATTGACATGGATCATGACTTCTGTCCAGATGCGTGAACTTGGGTGGGGTGACCTGTGAGGTGCTGGGCCTGGGGGCGGAGAAGGTTGGGGGATGGGGATAGGAGCTGGGTGGGGACCCGTCTGGGTGCCTTTGGGAGACTCGGACGATGCATGAG